ATTCATCTGACACTCCCTTTGGTCCAAACCCTTCTAAATTTTTCCTTTTGTAGTTTACCTCAAGGACAACGTTGGCATTCCTTGTTCCTATGCAGAGTTGACGGATCGGTGCACAATAATATTACTGTAATGCTTACATACATACATAATTATCTGTCTATGTGATCTGTTTGCGTCTTCCCATCCCTGCTCGCTAGATAATATTTTTTTCAACTTTTTAGTTTTTCTCGGACAAGAGTCGCGAGTCATTCACTATGGTCGCAAAAGATTTTTCTTGCTTGGTAAGAAACTTTGCAACGCCACAATTTGAATTTTTTTTTTAAATATTTCACATTTCAATCCCGATTATGTTTCTCGCTTGACGATAGCTCAAATACAATTGATAATAATGAAAGCTCGGCCGAAAATCGCCAAATTTTTGAGTCACTAACTATTGGATGAGTGCATAAGTTCGTGCCCGATTTCAAGTCCAAACTAAAATTGAAATTTTTTGAAGAAAGCGCTTTTATTAATCAATTATGTATTTGCCATCAGGTTCAGAAATCTAGTCCCAACGTTCAACCAATTTGCGGATGCCTGATTCATAGAAATCGCGCGGTTTCTCGTTGAAAAAGGTGTCAAGGTGGTTTTTGACGTCTTCCACATTTTTAATTTTTTTTCCATTCAAATTGTTCTGCAGCGATCGAAACAAATGATAATCAGAAGGTGCAATGTCGGGTGAATATGCGGGATGCGGCATGATTTCCCAATTCATCTCCTTCAGTTTGGCCAGGGTCGGTTTTGCAACATGTGGCCTGGCGTTGTCATGATGGTAAAGAACTCCTTTGCGATTGGCCAAAATCGGACGTTTTTCATTCGACCAATTGCTGACAATACTTGTTGGCAGTGATCGTTTCTCCAGCTGGCAAGAGCTCAAAATTGATCACGCCTCGGATATCCCACCAAATGCACAGCAGTACCTTCATCGGATGCAATCCACCCTACGACATCGGTTCCGCCCCTTCGTGTGCCTGTTTCCATGTTCTTTTGCGTTGAACATTGTTGTACAGGATCCATTTTTCATCACCAGTCACGAGCCGATCCAAAAAAGGTTCGTTTTTGATCCGTCGAAGAAAAGAAATTGCTGTTGACATACGGTCCACATTGTTTTTTTTACTCAACTGATGTGGCACCCATGTATCGAGCTTCAAAGTATACCCAACCTTTTTTAAACGACGAAACGCAGTTGATTTGTTGACGTTTAATTCACTGGCAACCTCTTCCGTCGAAATACGTGAGTTATTCGCAACTAAAGTCCTTAGAACATCGTCATCAAGCTCAGAAGGCCGTCCACTGCGAGGTTGATCTTCGAGGTTAAAATCTCCAGAACGAAATTTCGCGAACCATTTCTTTACTGTGCAGAGTGCTGGAGCACGGTCCAAATAAACTTCGCGAATATCTTTAGTTGCAGCGCCTACTGCTTTTCCTTTGCGGAATTCGTATAACATAATATGACGCATATGATCTTTTTTGTTGTCCATCTTCCATGCGTCTTTTCACTAAGCAACTCAAATCGAAATGAAGTTATTTTATGCTTGATTTACAGTTCGGACTTTCACCTTTCCAACGATATATAATATGTATATATTTCTTTTACGAGCGCCACTCTCAAACGATTCGAACGGCATCCAGCGGAATCGGACACGAACTTATGCACTCATCCAATACTTCACGATCGTAATGATCCTTTCTTCGTGAAAATATAGTAGGAATAAGTTCTTGTGTATCTCTAACCATGACACGCGTTCTGGGCTTATAATACGGCGTAGGTTGATATGTATGAGAGTTTAATAGAGAAAGAGAGAAGGTAAACTAAATTAGCTCTCGTAATATTTTGATTTTCTTTACGACAGCTTCTGTTAAATAGCTGATATGGTACATAATTATGACACTGTATGCTTATAAATTTGTGTAAAAGTGTACGTATGTATGTATACATGTATATTTTATTTCGGTGCGCACGTAGTATAAGTCGAATTGGAATAAATGTAGAAGGTCGAAAGTTTTCAACAAATTGCTTTACAAAAATACCAAAATATATTATTCATCTGTATGTACATATGTACTCGCATGTACTGAACATCGAGAAGTGTTGTTGCGTGGAAATGGGTGTGTCTGTGTGTTTGAAAAAAGTGACATATGAGTCAAGGAAAAATAAAATCAAAGATTCACCCGGCACTTGAGTAGTTCAATAAGTATTTATACACGTGAGTGTAGCCGAGGAAAATGGGAAAAGAGTAGAGGATCAACTTAAAAGAATGGCAAATATTACATTGTATCAAAAATTACACACAAAATTATTAAAAATAACACAAACATATTTAATTTTTGGAAATTTTGTTGCTTTGTATACCTATTGTACAATAGTGTGTACATTGGTATTTGTATATACCGTCAAAAGCAAACTTACACAAACCCACATATAATTAGGCAAATACACTTATGTATGTAATTCATTTAATGCATGTATGGACATATGTTTGTATGTAGACTTTCGTTACATTTGTACATACGAGTAAATACGTGTATGTAGGTATGTTTCATTAGTGAGGTCGATTTGTCAGTTGCCACGTGAGAGGTGTTGCCTTGCATTGTTTCTCATTTCCTTCCTCTTTCACTTGCTTTCGTTACCAATAAAACAAAAAAAAATTATGATAAAATAAAATCAGTTGGCCTATGGCCAAAAGTTTTGCCGCGACCTATAGCCGTAGCGGGTGTGGTGGTGGTGAGATTCGATATCTCGATTTTATTTCCTGTTTTCTGAGCTAATTTCTTCTGCTGCTGCCTCGTTCGCAGTGAGTGCTGCGATGTGTTGGTTATACTTTATCTCACGCAGTGATGAATATTCTTAAAAAATGTATTTTATTGTTTTCTTCACTCATTCATGCTCTACTTTTTCGGCATTTTGTACAAAGTCACGCTGTTTTGGCCATTATTTGGGCGCTGCTTTGAGTAACTGTTGCCGCCACATTTATTTGCATTCGTATTTATGCACATACACGTATGCTTGCATGTGTATATGTGTGCTCGTATTGATGTAGGTTTATAAGTATTTTGGATTGTTCTTTGAATTATTTCACCCAAATTTTGATTGCATGGATTTTTACAATTTTACTCTTTTTCATGCCAGCGCCGAACGGATATGCTTCAAAAGTTTATTTACAATGGATAAACAGATACATGTACATATCGTTCAATATATGTAAATTATGATTTGTATTTTGCCATTTTGATACTTACGAGGAGCGCTTTTCGGGAATGAGAGAGCTGCGGGGGGAGATTAGGCTCGTGACTCATAGTATAAATACGAGGTTTCATTCTGATCAGATTAGCAGTCTTTGAGATAGTATCAACCAAGCAAAATAATCGGGAGTGAAAAGGGAAATATGTAGAAAATCAAATATCCTACCCGATCACCTTGACATGACTAAGAGAGCCGGGAATGCTCACGGTTTCTCAAACACAGCAGCGCATAGAGTGTTCTTTGTATTTTTTTGACCTCTGTAGTGCAGAGAAGAATGATGTATTGTGTTGAAATATTACTAGAGATAAAACTTAGGTTCATATAACAAAAACACAGCGCATCCCAGGAAGTTTAAGGTGTCCCGGTCAGCTGGAGAAACTGAAGGCAATGGTATTTTGAAACTCAAAAGAGATATAAAAGTGCTTCACTAAAGAGAAACAATGGGAAAAATTGCGGACTGCATAAGGTGGGCTTCGATATTTTGAATCATCCTTCCTTCTTCCCAGACCTGGCCCCAAGTGATTATTACCTGTTTCCAAAAATGAAAATAGAAAGTGGTGAATATTTTATCACCGATGACGAAGTCAAGAAGACAGTTTAAGAAGCTTATTTTGAAGATAAAGAAAAAAATCTTTTTATGAGGGCATAAATAAATTAATTGAACGATCGGAAAATTGTAACCTTATCCCCAATTAAGGGAACATAAAAAAGTAAGTTTATATGTTTCTTCAAGTAGAGTCGAAATATTTTCAGTCTATTAAACTGGTGATTTTTTACGATTCTTCAGCTTAGTTTTTTTGAATGAGAATAATGTAGCATTACAGCTTTCCAATCTTAAAATGCCTCCGAAGTCTTATGTAAAGAGGAAGTTAAAGTTTCGAAATTCAGGGTAATTAGCAAAGAGTGACGGGGGCTGATCTTGCTCCTGAAATTTGTCTAATTTCTCGAAACTCTCTCCAACAATAGACGGTTAGATATGAATGTCGCAAGTCGAAGACGTAAAAATTCCGTATGTCAAGAATATACAAAGCTATTGGGAAAGCCATTCCAAACTCACTCCCTTTACGGACCTTCACTTCAACCTAAAGGCGCTAGCCTTTGTCATAATTTTAGCTACACCGATTTGGACGCTGTTAACTATGATTAAGATGAATGAAAACAACGTAACAGGAAGCTTTCAGTTTTCGCCTGTGGCTTGATACAGAGCTGCAATTACAAAATTTATATACTACATTTAGCAATACCTAAAAGAACTACCGTCACTCTCTTTTCGGCCGTGAGTCCTGTGGAGTTCTGGCGCAACGAAGCTCGGAATTCAGTAGTAGACTCCCCTCCTACTTACCCAGTCTCGACATAGCCAAAATATCCAGCATGCAGCTTTGCACGACTCTAACTAGACCTCTTTAAGCGACCTAAAGCCGACATATCAGAACCCGCTGACATTTTTCCTTTAATTTTTTAGATTTTGCCTTTCCCATAGTCCAATGACCAATGACTGTCAGGGTAATACTTACTATACACTCAGCTAAAACTACCTCCGAGTTAGCAGCGGAATTATAGAAAAAAAAACTTTACATTTTTCATTTGAAAATTTATTATAAGATTTATTTTTGTTTTTGGTCACCGTGCAGCATCCGTACGTCACCCTTATTTCATATCCTTTGTTTTATTATCTCTTCATCTTAACTAAAATATTACTTTCATTCAATGATTACAGATTCTAGCGATTGCGACGATTGCAACAGCGAAATGGTCCAATTGAGCCAAGATAAAATCACACAGTGTGTAGTGCATGACCTCACACCCGGCTCGGAGCAGAAGAAAATTAACATTGTTGTGCGCTCACCGTACACAGTCGAGAAGGTATTTCGGAATATAAGCACACAGTATCCCTACGAGGAGTATGATTTGGTGCTGCAACCAAATTCGACGGGAAACCCACTGGTGAGTGACAATTCAAATGATTACAGCGAATTTATTTGAAAAGACACTTAAATACGATTTTAATAAAAATTTCCAGATTCATTTGAATGCCCGCAAAAATGACTTACTCTTCGGCATACCCGGCTTTTCTTCGGACGAGAAGAATGTTCTTGTCCTGCTGCCGCCGGATGTTTGGAATGGTGATGTGAAGAAACGCTTGGACTTAACTAAGCCAATGGGTAAAAAGAAATGCATTTCAAAGTCACCCAATAAGTCGGCAGCAACAACAACAGCAACCAAGGCGTCGGTCAAAACCACAACAAAAACAAAAGAAGTTGCATCGAACGCAGATACGAATAGCATCAAAGCATTAAGTACACCGTCAACTCCAGCAACTCCGCTAGCCCCACCATCTCCTCCCAAAATAACAAACGGAGTTGATGCCAATAGCACCGCCGACACGGCTAATGGCATAACTGCAGCGGAACCAGAGGCATCAGCAATAACCACACAAACAGTTATTACAAATGGCGCAGTAAACGGTCACAGCGAAGAGGAAGTTTTAGAACACAACGCTAGCAACGAACATACAGATGACATGATGACTAAAGTCAATCTACACAACGAGAAAATATTAATGAGTTATGATATGCTGAACGATTTGGGTGGCGGTGGCGATGCTTCGTCATCAACTTTTGACCAAGAACCAGCACTTCCACATACAGCGACTGTCATAGCCCACACAAGAACCACGAATACCGCCTCAATGACGCACTCATTGAAACTGAGTCCACTTTCCGACCCAGAGCTTTTATCCGATGACGATTTGGCACTTGGTGCCTCCGCTAGTCCCACCGAGACAGAGCCGTTTGGTGGTGATGGCCTGCTGAAGTTACGCAACACATCACCACGCAGTCCCAAGTACGGCCCACTGACCGAGGGTGAAATGTACCAAAATCTGACGTTGGAACGCGATTTTACGCGCTTGGGCAAGAAATTGCAACCTATTTCAGCAGCCGCAACGACCACCACAACAGCTGCTACAGCCGGTGCCACAATGTCGACATTTAGTACAGGCGGCGGCTCTAATGGTTATGTGGGCTTGGTGAATCAAGCGATGACATGTTATCTCAACAGTTTACTACAAGCGCTCTTCATGACACCCGAGTTCCGTAATGGACTCTATCGGTGGGAGTTTGACAATGACAACGAAGCCAAAAATATACCATATCAACTGCAGAAACTTTTCCTAAATTTGCAAACATCTAAGAAATCTGCTGTAGAGACGACAGACTTGACGCGCAGCTTTGGCTGGGATTCGACCGAAGCCTGGCAGCAGCATGACATACAGGAATTGTGTCGTGTTATGTTCGATGCGTTGGAGCATAAATTTAAAAACACTAAGCAAATGAATTTGATTGCCAGTTTATATGAAGGCAAAATGATTGATTATGTCAAGTGTTTGGAGTGCAATACGGAGAAAACTCGCGCCGACACCTTCCTCGATATACCCCTGCCGGTTCGTCCGTTTGGCAGTACTGTCGCCTATGGTAGCATTGAAGAGGCATTGCGTGCTTTCGTACAACCCGAAACGCTCGATGGCAACAACCAATACTTTTGCGAGAAATGTAATAAGAAATGTGATGCACATAAAGGTTTGAAGTTTAAGAACTTTCCTTACATATTGACGCTGCATTTGAAACGCTTTGATTTTGACTATCAGACCATGCATCGCATCAAATTGAATGACAAGTAGGTTCACACATATCAAAATACGCATAGAGAATTTATCGAAAATGTATTATTTTTTCATAATTTATTCGTAGAGTTACTTTCCCACAAATGTTGAATTTGAATAGTTTTATTAATCCTGCTGATCAGCTCGATTTAGCGCCAAGTACTTCCACAAGTGCTGCGGCAAGCGCACCTGGCGTTAGTAATGTTGCCACGAATGGTTTTATACCGAATGGCGCTGCGGCACTTGCCACCAACGATGATTGCAGCACCACAGATAGCGGCTCGGCAATGGAGGAGGATTTATGTTGTAGCGGTACTGCCACCACTGCCAGCTCTAGTCAACATGAGAACGATATGAATGACGATGATGAGGGCATTGATATGAGCACCAGCACTGATCACCGCCTAACCAGCAGTAATGCTAGCGTTGAACAGCGTATAAAACATGATAATGGCCCGTATTTGTATGAGTTATTCGCTATTATGATCCATTCGGGCAGTGCTTCGGGCGGTCATTACTATGCTTATATAAAGGAATTTGAAAACAATGAGTGGTTTTGCTTCAATGATCAAACTGTTTCTCCGGTGAGTACAATGTAGGGTTTCCCCACATACCCGCTGTTAGTAAGGTAATACTTTATCGGCTACAACTACAACAATATTTGTATTATAAAAATTTAAAAAAGAATATTTTATGGTTTGTAAACCTTTTGCACGTAGAAATAGTGGAGTTTATGTGGGTTACACTGCATATTGCTTCTGCTTCAAATTTTTTTTAACTAAAATGTTGAGTTTTTTATATTGTTGTAACCGCAAGAACGAGAGTGCTGGGTGAGTTATAATGCTCTGCTCTCTTCACTTACCCCACTTGAGTTGATGTATGCGGTATGAGCACTTCGATCGCGGTACCAATACCTTAACCTATATGATGGACGACCTGCTCCCTTATAGAGAAGAGAAATTTCTATGGCTCTTAAGACATTTGTGTTTCTAGAGTAGAACTTGTTGTTGCGGCGTTTATGGAGCCCCACCAAGCTAGTCTATATCATCGTGGTCTATATATTTATTCTGTTCTTTTGACAAACATAAAGCTTAATATTTGGAAATTTACCTTAATATTAATCTTTTTCTTTCCAATTAGATTACTGATGAAGATATCGAGAAATCTTTTGGTGGTGGCTCGAGTCGCGCTTACTACTCCAGCGTTTATAGCTCAAGCACAAATGCCTATATGTTAATGTACCGTCAAATAGATCCGCAACGTAATGAGTTTGGTACTAAAGTTCCCGACTTCCCCGAACACATCACCCGCTTATTACCGAAATTGCACGAGGAAGAGGAGACACGTATTATGTGCAGTTCAGCACGGCATACTGTGGCCGCGTCTGATCTATCAGTACAGGAATTGATAAAACCGCGCGTGAACTTCTATAACCCCGAATTGAAAAAGCTGAAATCGGTTCGTGCATACGTGAGTACTTTCAACGTAAAATCTGTGCTGGAGTCAGCCTATCAAATGTTGAATGTGGAGAAATTTGCACCGCTTTCACGTTGCCGTCTAGTTGTGTACGATGATATGAGTGAACAGATTCTTCAATCTCTCGAAGACATTAGCGATTCAGCGTTGAGCGAAATGCGTCGGCAAAGTGAGGGTTCTTTAGAATTTTTGCTTGAAACGAGGGAAGAAGGGCAAGAGTTTGAAGTTTATAAGCCAGGTGGTTGCACATGGAACGTTTATAAGGTGAATGTGTGGAAAATGCAGTTAGATGGCCCTCATCTGGTGTATGCGCCCTCGAAAGAAGCCAATTCCGCGCTGCTACATTCGATTGCGGTGCGGCTGAATTTGAACGAGAACCAGTTGCTATTGGCCACAGTAAAGACTGATGCATTTGTTGCGCTCGACTCTGCGCCGCCTCAAGAAGGTGAAAACGTCGTGGAGGGTATGCAGCAACAAGTGATAACACAGGAGGATCTGCAAGAGATCGCACAGGAACAGTTTAGAGGTTTAACACACATTTACCTAAATGTGCCCAACATAGATTTGAGTACTTTAGAGATATTAGATATACCCGCATTGGAAACACCCACAATTGAGGTAAAATTATTAGATTTTTTTTTTTAATTTGCCACTTTGTGTTAACTTCAATATCTTACACAACACGCCTGTAGGTTAGCGTAGACGTTGTCGACGCTGTGCAAATGAACGCGAATATCCTAAGTCCATCCAGTAGTGATAGCACATCAAATCTCTCACAAAAGATTTGCACAACCACCAGCAGTGCACGCGAATCACCATTACTTCCCGCCACCAACGCTGCCACTACGCTGACCGGCCAAGAATCGAACTCTGAGGATAGCAGCTTGAGCGATGGCGATCGGACACTCGTCGAATCAATGAACAATCGCTACGGTGGAGGTGATAGTCAAATTTCATCAACCAGCCATTCGCCTTATCTGTCCAGTCCAGAGGACGATGCGTATAATAAAGCGAATTCGCTGAAACGCATACATGATCTGTTCCAAATGACACCCGATCACACAATTGAGGGCTCAACGCATTCTCGTACCGGCAGCACGCCACAATTCTTCTATGCCGAAAAGATAAATACAGTCGATCCAAGTACCATCTCATCGCGCATACACAGTAGTAGTATCAACGATCCAAATGAGGAGTTGGCACGCAAACCAACACATTCATATAAAGTCATTGTGGATCCTCATATGAAAATGACAACATTCACGCGACATGTTGAATCTTTAATCGGTGTACCCGCAAACTATTTTAAGCTACAACACAAATACGAAGTCATTGACCTGAGAGCGACAGTGCTCTTCGTGAGTACAGGCGAAACGTTGAGCATTGAGTTGGGTAAGGTGTTGCAACCGGATGAAGACAAGGCGAAGATCTCATTTATGCGACTGTCAGAGTTGGACAACGATACTGGCAAATTGCCCTGCATCTGTGAATGGGTATTTAAGGGCAGCATGACGGTGGGCGAGGCAAAGAAAGAACTGATAACTAAATTACATCGCATTGATGATAAATATCAAACACTTAGTTTAAGTAATTGTCGTCTGTGGTTGAAGGGGGGACGCAATCCAATAGAAATTTTGGGCGATAACGACACCTTAGCTTCTGATTTACGCTCAACGGCGGGTGCGGAGGTAAAATATTTTATATTCCACTAGAACTATATATAAATCGCACAAACATGCATATGTTTTCATTTATTAAATTCTTATTATCGTTTACAGTTTCTCGTGCAAGAGTGTGAAGATGGCGTAAGTCCACAAGTGGCCGCAGAAAGTCTTACGATTTTTGTTAGACGTTGGCATGCGGATAAACTGCAATTGGACAAATTCCAGGAAGTTACGTTAGAAAGTGAGTGGTGCTCAGTAGTTTATTGAAAATCAAATATTGTATTTAATTTAAAAACATTTCCGCCTGCAGAGGAAAGTGAAATAAGAGAGGAGCTGGCAAAAATTACCGATATCCCCAAAGAGCACATCGCTTATAGTAAGGTAAGTTTAACTATACTCATAATCGCTGTTTTAAGTAGAAGTTCTTTCACTTTTTTAAACTTTAAACACTTCGCTCTCTTTTCAGATAAACGGTTCTTTCCCCTGCACAAACATTTCTCTATTAAGTATCAACAGCACGCTTAGCTGGTTCTCAATACCAGCTACGTTATATAAATATCCATTAACAGCAACAGTTAGTGGAAATGTCTACTTTTACAAGTAAGATTTTGTTTTATTTAATTAATTGATATTAACTTTTGTCCGAAGTATGTACGTCAATTTATACCGATATAATCAGAATGACAAGTTGAGTTTACTTAGCCAGGTGGTCACGTTCGCCAGTCGTCTGTTTTTATACTAGCAAACTAGTCCCTCAGTTTTCGAAATATTTCCACCAACTTTTATGCACATTTAAACGATTTTTGTCTATATATGACCGATTTTTCAGATTTGAGATTTTCATCAAATTTTATGTTATGAAGGTTTGGGTAAAAAATCTGTCAACTAGAATGGAACTCGGTATTATACACACGAAAATTCGACTAAATATTTGTTTTCGTTTCGTTTTTTTTTTTTTTTAGAAATATTTCTTATATTGTAATATTTTCAATATTAAGAATTTTATAATAAACTGCAATTACAATAAAATTCTTGTTCTCTCTTCTTTGCAGAGATGTCACCAAATCACCCAAAGAGCCGACAACTGAAGAGCGTCGTGAGTTGAGTGCTCGCGAGAAGTTACGTCTCGATCGCTTGGGTTGCATGTCAACGTCATTGTACTCACCGCGACGAGAGCGAGCACTGAAAATATACCTAGACTCGCCTCAAACAAACAACTATAATAACAACAACAATAATAACAGTAGTACAACAACGACGTCGTCTTCTTCATCCATATCGACAGTGGTGGGAGCATCAACAGCTGTTAAATCAGAAGAAGATTAACGAAGAAACGTTAGCGTAGAAGATAAATAATAATAAAAACAACATTCGTTGGCATAAATAACTTACGAGATGCTGTTATACACACCCTCACATATTCATATATGTTGCTCTGCATAGTTTCTTCGGTAATTAGAATAAAAGAAAGCTTGTTTGTAACCAATGCACGTGCGGCAGAGAGTTTAAATGACAAAGTAGCGTACTGATTGGTATAGAGCAGGCAAAAAGAAGAAGAAGAAGAAGAAGAAATTTGAAATGTGATAACCACTGATGCGAAAATAATTGGCGACGACAAAATATTGTGTGACCGACCGACCAACCGACCAACCGACCGACAACTTGACATTGTTGGCGCTTAAGAAAAAGTGATAATGCAAAATTTCTTTTCAGTCTTTTTCTCTGCAGTTTATTCATTATTTTCATCAATAAATCAAACAAAAATAAAAGATAACAAAACAAAACAAATTGAGTAAAAACGGAAACTTAACGTATAATAAAAAGTCTTAAGAACAAGCTTCATGCACTATTAAATTATAGTCACTTGTGTTTTTTCTTTACTCAACCTTAAGGGCAAAATTTAATTGTATTAATTAGGATGGTTAAGAGAGAGAACGCGCGAAGAATAGGAGCGCTTAGGGTCAGCTAAAATTCGATCATTTTATTGCACTTGATCCGGCTTGACTATAGAACAGATGAAGTGGAGTTCAGGTACACTCGCTCAACGGTTGAAGTATGGATAACCTTTGCCGTGTGAAAGAAACTAAATAAAATTCATAAATTAGAGTATGGTGAATGGAAAAGGAGGCGTAGAGGAAATGTTTAATAGTGACAGAATGAAGTTATTGTAGTCTATTGGGTCTCCACGCTCTCGTATCGGCAGCCACTACCAACTACTACCTAACCTAGTTTGGAGTATAATGCTTTGCTGTGCAAGCAATTCCTATTGGGATGCTACAACAGCAGCAACACCCTAATAGGCATCTTATCGAAGCTGAACCACCACCTAGGCACATAAGATAGGGATAACTAGACTTAAAGTACACCATCCAGCAACATGTGCAACAACCGCTGGACAGGACGGCGTACAGACAAGCACTGAACGTTAATCGCCGGAGTCAGTCAACACCTTCAAAGACTCATTTCCCGTAAATGGTGTGCTCGGAGATAAAGCACCACCTCTCACAGACAATAAGTTCGAGCTGCCTCGAGATACCTGCGTGACACTGACACAATTTAGGTCTGAATACTGTAGCAGGTTAAATTCCTAATTATCCAGGCTCGACCACAACATACCCAACGAGAGTCCTAGCACGACACTAACCACCTCTTCACATGCCCCCTTAATCCGACACATCTAACTCCCCTCTCCCTCTGGTCCGATGCCGTCGAAATATCACGTTTCCTGGACCTCCCGTCCATGGAAACTGTCCGTCATAGCTAAAAATGAAAATGTATAAAAAATTAAAATAATTTCAATGAAAACGTGTAAAAGTTAATGTATCGTGCCAAATCTCATTAAAAATACGGTTAAATGTAGGTAACAATAAGAAAAGGCAATGATTCACATTTGCTTCATAAATTATTTTTTCTTATTTAGTTCGATTTGCACCTATTAAAGTCAAGTACTTTTATCAATTACACCATTGTTGTTGTTTACAACCTGTTAGATCTCATCGAAAACGAGACAGCCCAATAGAGCATTCTTCCGGCGCAATCAAATACATTTTAAAGGCATATCATTCATTGATAAGTACCCAGCAAGAATGGGCTAATGAGTTCACCAATACTTTCACACGATTTAGACGGAGATCTAAAGAACTATACAGAATTTATATAAGATTATGTATAAAAGTTTGTGCGTATGTATGTTTTTTGATCACCAAAACTACCCGGCAAATTTTTCTAAAAATTTCCCACTAACACATATACATACTTTTTTGTATATTTCTCTCTTCTGGGTACATACAAATTGAAGAAGAATGCAGTTGAACGGATTATTCGTTTTATATTATGTTCTTATTTTCGAGTAGAACGCCATTTTTTTATCGTTTTCTCCGCAGCAGATAGGAGTGAGAAATATTTACATGATGAGGATCCTGTTAAAGCTGTGGTAATAATATAATGTCGATTAATTAACTATGTACTTAATTTTTCACTGCTTTTTTATATTTGTTTATCTATATCTTATGGAAACATCAGCTAATGGCTGGAAAGGACGCTTCTCATCTTGCTGCATTTAGACATCGAAGATTATTTTTTTTTAATTAGACCGGTTTATACTTCGAAGGAGCCGTTGTTATGACGGAGGCATTCGTGGAGCTGAGGAGCTGCGTCACGAACGCATGACACTATTAAAGACTTCTGTATGTGCGGTTTTGCTTTAAATATTTTGCAGATTTTTGAAAATGAACTTATTGCTGTAATATTATTTCTTTGTATGCTGTAGAAACCATGTACCTGGTCTATGTAAAAATATTGGAATAAAGACTGAATCTTAATAATAAATTTTTGTCAAAGCTGATTTCCTTCGTCATCAATGCTGTCACGCATCTGTGTTCGGCTTATACGACAAGAATGACGAAAATGCACGAAGAAACGAAGAGAGAATGACGTACACGTATACAAATGTAAACAGCACATTTGTCATTTCGGCATTAAGAAAGTGATGGGAAAATTGTTCTACGAGGTGACGGGATATGATACCATGCATTCCTGACATATGTTGGCTTAAGTGATCGAAAGCCTTCTTGCAAGGTATTCAGTGATATTTGATTCCGTACAGTGCAAGCTAAAAGTTTTCGCTAAAAAATCAGTATTGATTATCAGTAGATTATTTTGTTCTAGTAAAAAGTAATCCATTATTACTAAATATTGCACCAAAAATAGTTTGGAGGCTCTTAAAAATGGTTGGATACTCAAAGAAGCTTGATGATAGGTGCCACGTGAGTAATGAGAAAAAAGCTCTGACTCGTAACAAAATCGATATATGATGAAAATTTCCGATTTCTTAGATTTTCAGTACATACACGTATTAGATTGAGTACATATATATGAGTTGAACAACAAAATTTAGGCTCTAGACGCTCTTCTGAACCAAACCCGAATATCTGAACAAATCACTCGTTCCGACAAATGATCGTTCAAATAATATTTAGAGTACAACTCGAAAAGTCTAATCACTCAGTTTGTGTACAAATTTTAATCCGATCGGTATGAATTTTGAGATGGGTCTATCTCTTCTTCTTCTGGCACTTACATACTTCAGATTAAAGTTAATATAACATTATGTGTACATGAAAGGTATAAAAAAATCTCTCCTTTGACGGATTAAAGTTTGTAAAACAAAAAAAAAGAAACTGATATCTGTCGCGTTTTCTTATGTGAATATCACGTTCATGGTCTGACGATCGGAAAGCAAATATATTTGCATCCTTCTTAACCCACACTTAATACCAGCTAGAGATTCCATCGGATAACATATATGTTTACATGTTTGCATTTCAAAAAATTAGACACGAGCTGCACCTTGAACCATTTTAAGTATTTGTTATTTGGACTTTTCGCTGACAGGGGATTTAGTTTTTCAGGTGTCTACACAGTCCAAAGTAGTGTTTGTACGGTGGCAAGAATTTATGCTGGGTAAATACTAGCTATGTTTGGTTGGAAGAAACAAAAATAAATCCAAAGAATTTACGTAGATCTGTGGAGTTGAAATCTCGTAAATTTAATGAAAAGGATTATCCAAAGTACGACAGATTTTTATCTTTATTATCCCATCCATCGACGTAGTTTTTAAGTGAATGTTGGTTAGATATACATAGTCGCATGCTCGAAGTTAGTGTTGTTGTTAATCAAGAGTACGAGCAGAGCGGCTATTTGCTCTGAGGAGACTTTTTATAACGTAATTATTCTCATAAAAACAAGTGAAAGTGCTTAATGTACCCCTGAAGTGTTGAGTCCATAAGATTTTATATTCCCAACTATAAAACGTGGGAGTATGCACTTACACATAATCATATATATATCAGTATTTGCATTGCAATTAAGTCAAATGCAACTAAACTAAAACTGAAGAATAAGACAAACAAGTCTACGAGAAACATTTAGAAATCGTGAAGCATTAACAATAAGATTGAATGAGTTTAAAAAAAGCGAGGCTGCTTAAACACTATAAACAATGCTTTTATTAAAAACGTCTATTTCTATTTTGATACGTCTTTTCACATCATTCAGTTTATCAAATGATTTTTTGGGTGCATTCTCTACTTCTTCATCAATGGCGCTGACGGCGCTAACGAGATCATAGCCGAATTAACAATAGCGCACCAATCGTGCCGTTTTTCGCTGTTTGCCGCCAGTTGAAAATACCAAGTACATCCAGCTCTTTCTCCAACTGATCACTCCAACGGAGGGGAGGTCTTCCTCTCCTTATACAAACAACAGCGGGGAGTACATCCAATACTTCCAAAGCTGGAGTGCTTACGGTCATTCGGGCAACATTATCTAGCCAGTGCAGTCCCGATTCAATGTCGCCGCTTAACTCATGCAGATCATCGTTCCATCGTCTGCCTTATTCGCCGCTGTTAATGCCCAGAAGATCATTAGAAATCTTACGCAAAAACTCATCAGATATTGTCATCGTTCACATTTCTGCATCATAATGCTGCATAACGGGAATGATTGTTCTTTCAATTTCCTTCTCAGTCCAAAGTAGCACCTGTTGGCAAGAGTGACTTTTCGTTGGATTTCCAGCCTGACCAGGTTGTTGGCGTTTATACAGGATTATGACTGTCAACAGGTACGTGGGAACCGAGTCAAGAGTGCGATGACTGTTTGTTTGATGACAGGAGATATTTCGTCTTGCTCTCGTTCACTACGCACAGATGCAAGTAAAACCATTAGTTTTCGGATAAGTCAACAGAACAGATTGTCGTACCGCATTAGAGAGAAAAAATTGTCTATCTTGCAGAACTGCAATAGACCGAAATGCGAATGAAATTTGAACGACACTGAGAGCAGAAGGGAAAAGCGAGATAAATTTGCAAAGGACAAAACGTGCCGAGTACGAAGAACTTTTTCACAGCTTCATTCAACAATTTATGCTAATTCTCTTACAACAGGGCTTTTGTTTTTGTTCTGGTTTCGCTTCAACATATCGCCCCTCTAAACTACAAATGGTGGGAAGAGGACACGAGCTCCTGAGATTGGACCTTCAATTTATGCTCTTTCTGAAAAAGCCGATTTACGAGACCGTCATGCCGCTTCTTATTCATATACGTTCTTTGATATTAATTATAGCCGAAAATTCTATGAAAAGAAGCGAAGACTTTCAGAAGGTTTCAAGACCGCAAAACACTGGGTAAATGGAGAAAATACTTCTTCAACTTGTTTATAATGAGAAAACACAGGAGATGATGAACCCGACACACAATCGTCGATCACTATATTATTGTAGTTTGCTTTGTAGTTTTGTGTGTTTGAATTTTTATTGATGCCGGGAATGAGACTGACACAAAAATTGCTTGAAATAAAAAGACACTAAAGGCTTTTCTACAATCCTCAAGACCGTTCCCAAGAAGTGTGCTTATGTGAAGTGAAATCCCTTTCGTATCATTCCACGTTTTCCACTTCCAGCTACAGCATGATTGGGTCAAATTCTGTAGGATATGGATTTAATAGCTTTTTTTTGTTATGAATTGTAATGTTATTATAAATACGATAAAGATTTTTTTCGAAATTCTCTAATATAAAAGTATGTAAATATGTATTTGTATGTGAATGTATGCATTTCTGCACAAATATAATATAACGTTACGCCTGTTAAGTAATCAAAAGAAGTGGTAAATTATTTTTGTTGTCGCCAAACAGACACTCACACGCAGCTGCATACATATTGTATATACGAACATATGTATGTATGTATGTGCAACCAAAGCAGATAGCAATTTAGATAAATACATAACTGAGTATTTATTGCTCTGCAAATTCAGTTTCTACTTTATATACTATATATGCACATAAATATATAAATACATAAATTTCCATACAAACATAATAAATATCAATATTTGCTTAAAATTATTACACAGGAATAAAAAAATTCATTAGCGTGCGCACAAGTTTTTAATTCCGTAAAATATGCAACAAAAAGAAATAAAAAAAGTAAATAAAATAAAAAATAAATAAAATAAGATACAACAGAAATTTACGAACTATATAGGCTTGGCATTCTTCGGTCATTTTTGAAGAATTTAGCCTCCACGGCTAAACATCCCCAAATGAGTTGAAACTGATCTGACTGACAGATCTGATTCCATCACAAGAAAATTAAGCTGCTGGACTGTCTCTAGACCGAAAAACTCCCAACCAGATCAATCAAGCCGCGATAGATGGACGACATGTCTCTAGCGTTCTTACCGTGCGTGCACTAAAAGGACCCAACATTGATTTCGGCCACCACCATGTAGCAGCAAGAGTAAGAAACCTCCACTGTGCAGCAAAGAATGGCCGGCAGCAAACACAAGGAATTTTCGAAGACTGACGAATAATCCTGTAATGTCATGGTGCCATGGTGGTATTCAGCCGGAAATATTTTAGAACTCTTTGACATTAAGTCCTTATACGAGAATCATATTTTGACTCAGATAGCCAAGTGCGCCGACAGAATTGTAATGTATAAGGCTTTCAGGAGACTCAGGCAAGTCGTTTCATATAAATCCTCAGCCCAACTGCAGATGCAAGCACGCCATAAGCATTGAAGTTTACTTTTTGCAAGCCGACCATATTTGTCAAGTTATTTACGGATATTCTACGTTTGTATTAAGAAAAAAACACGCAAGCGAGCATCCGACGTGTACGGTCACATCACCACTTCTGCGTAGATATGTTTATTTGAATATCTAAATTTAGATTCACCTTTCACTGTTTTCACGCCTAATTACTTTATAACTACTGTGGGTGAGCCGAATGTATGTACAAAGTAAATATGAAAGGCATACAGCAAAGGATTAATGAATGGACGTCATGTGCATCGTTAAAAATAAATTGCATGTGATATAATTTCTTAATTCAATTTTTTCTTTTGTGTTTTTTTGGTTTGTTGCTTTCAATGTTGAAGTACAAAACGTTTGCACGTGAGCGGAACCACACTCTCATACAGATGCATATTAAATATAATTATAAATTATTACTAATTATTACCAAAAAGAGCGCTTTTTATTGATAGAAAGATTATTTTAAGTCGCCAAAAATCTTCGTCTGCTTCAGTGATTACCGTCGAGCCAAAAAAAAGCACGTCCGTCGTTTCATCTTTTCTCAGTACAGGGAAAATGAAGAAGAACCTGGCTTCAGCTGATCTCTGCAAAGGAGTGGAGGTCGTTTTCTGCTACTTCCAGCTGGTGTAGCGTGGTTTTCTCCATTCTACCATTCTTAAATTCGTAAAACTTTCGGAAAACATTTCACTCGAGAGCTTTTACTGCCGTTCACGCTTCAGCACTAGAAGCAGGCAAGTAGCTGCAAGACTCAGCGGATTGAACAGACACACTCAGGAGCCCATCATCGCACATGTTTTCGTTCAACCATATTCTGCAAAGACGCTGATGGAATAACGTTATCAGTCACCCACTTACCCGGCCTGGGCCATTTAAATATGCTGACGACGACTAACGATGTGGATGTATCTGCTTCTTTGCCACTTGGTTATTCTTAAAGTCAATAGTTATTTCTTGAGCTCCATCACAGTCCATCCAATAAAATGGACGACTAATTCTGAGCCGCCCTCGAACGGCTGATGGAATTAATTAAATTAACTTAATTTTTTAATTAAATTGACTCTTGTGATGTTGGTCGGACAATGACTTAGTTTTTCGCATGGGGGAGTGTTCTAAATGGCAGCTACCAGACAGATCACCTTGCCTAAAACTTTCCGGCAAGTTCTTTGAACTCACATAGTTCGAGCTCTCTCTTTTTCCTTGCGCAAATGCGTCCAGTTTTCCTCTTGATCTTCGATCTGCGTCCTCCATGGCACGCGTTACGGCTGGTCGCAGCTTTGTAGGCGAAGCAGTCCTCTGCCCTATTCTCTCTACTGTAGTGCGGTATTCCCAATTGCAATAGCCCTCCATTCGACATTGCGATGAATGATCACATACTTAATTTTCATAATATTTGAGATCTATGAAATGGCTGTTTAAGTACATGCATATGTATGTACTTCCAGGTGCCTCATTCAAATGAACTATATTCTTCGTTGACGCTGCAATGTGGCTTATCAATTGTTTCATACTGATAAGTACTTAAATATTTACTTAGAAATTTGACTGCCAGTCTATTTATATCTGATTTGTTAATCATCATTTCATAAATCAAACGGCTGCACGTCGAAATTGAAGAACTGCTTATATTTAATTAATAACAAAAAATTATTAACCTTCAGAATTTAATTGCTTGAATTAAAATTAGAAGATTTATCGTTTGCGATTATCTTAAAAATATTCACCGCATGCCAAAACATCACTCAAGTTTGTTTATTTACTTAGAATCAGGCAGGAGTACTCAACGAAGTACTCAGTTGCCTCGTTGTATCCGACCAGATGGATGTTGGGAATAGTAATAACCCAGAAATTAGTCTTTTTAATGACCAAGCTTTCATTTCTTAAACACCTCAAGTGATGACTTTGTGAAGTGACTGTTCTCTTTTTCTTCTCTAATACGATATTTGAAGAAAGCGGATGAATTTGGATTTTATTTTGTCTTGGCTTTTGCTTTGCCTTAGTTTTCCTTTAAATAACTCTTTCAAAGCCAATAGCTCATCATCAAGCATTACTCCTGCATACCAATGCATGAGATAAAGTTGTTTATCCCCAGTATGTAGCCCTTAATTTATCTATAGAAGAAGTACTTGGCGCTCGGCAGTCATCTTCTCGCTTCGTGATTCGTTTAGTACATGAAAGTAACAGCCTCTCATGAATCATAGAAAAACTTGAGAGGCAGATAACAGTTTCGTAATGGGTTAGGTTAGGTTGAAATGGTTGCCTGTTTGTTGTTTGTAGCTTGCGTGGGAAATTCATCAGCCCTACAAGGACTCTATGTCTCTGTAAAGAATGATCCAAAACAAAAATGAGTATGTTTCATAAAGCAAGCATCTAGATTACTGAGCGTGAGTAAAGGCGAAAATGTTTCTTACTGAAGACTTGCTTCTTATGTGTTTTAGAGTTTTCATGGCAACGCCGATCTCAATCTAGAAAACTCATTTCATTGGCGGGATAGTTTTCATTAAATCTTGAGTCACCTGCATATATTTCAATAGTCTCAGTGTTGTATCGTTATCTGTTATTTTTATGTATATAGAAGCAAGTAGCCAAAGTAGAAAGGCAGTAGTCTGTGTTGCTTGGCAGAAAAGTATAACTCGTTTAGATTTGCATTTGTAAGTAGGCTTGAGATTTATCTATTCCGAAAAATCGTATAAATGGTTCAATTTATTTCAGATTTATAACAAACATTACCCTTTGTGTAGATTATAAAAGTTGACCTGGGAAAGATCTTTCAGATAAATCCGATTTGTTTGATAAATGGAACATATGTAGACCGTTTCCTAGGTTAATACTTGTAGGTGGAAACTATTTTTCCGATAAGGCGGCCTGGGGATCGACCTGATTGAAAAAATATAAAATAAATAATGAGAAGAGGCTCAACAACAAAATATTTAATTAGAACCGTTTTGGAATTTGATGCGGACTAAGTTGTGTGCAAACTGTAGCCTTAGTATTTTTCGGTAATTCGAGCAACTGTGGATCGTTTCTCACCATGTTTACTTTAGTGGATAACGCACAATCTCAGAGACGTCGGTCAGTGCGCACCAAAGCGCTATTGCTCCTGTGAACCAGAGTATTGGGGAGGAATTTAGTGCCACTATTGGAGTTGTGTCGATCCACTTTATGGAAAACTTTTCGGAAGGCACTTGCTTTGCACCGAAACGCTATTGCTCCTGTGAACCAGAGTATTGAGGAGGAATTTAGTGCCACTATTGGAGCTGTGCCGATCCACTTTATGGAAAACTTTTCGGAAGGCACTTGCTTTGCTGGCTTGCAATTGTTCAGCGATGAAGCTCGCTTTCGGTTAAACCAAGGCAACCGTGATTAATGACTTTTTCGTGTCTGAATTCCTGATATTTGGTTCGGACAAGACGGCTCTACATGCCATACAGTGCACGAAACAGTCAATTTATTAAAGTAAACTTTTGTTGAGCGGACGATTTGAGACCGCTGGACTATTTTTTGTAGGGTTAAGTGAATTCGCTTCTCTACGCAGATAGGCCCGAGCTGATTGACGCGTACGAGCCAGCAGAGGTGGTCACATGCCCTAAATCATAATGGCAACAATAAAGCTAAACCAGATGACAAAAAAACACCCTTTATAAAAGGGCGACTGCATAAACTACACCAGAGGCTCAAGGCTGACGTCAGCAAGTCGATGATGACGTATGTCAATCGAATGACAAAAACTATACAGATTTTAAAAACTACAAAATCTTTTAGTCTATGCAATAGAAAAATAGAAAAAAAACAATGGAACGAGCTTGAAGTTTTTTTGCCGGCAAATTTTCGCATACAAATTTTATATTTGTATTTTTTAACAACCAACTGACTTACTAAACACCGCAAAACTGTTGAGCGTAGAATAAATATTTAAAGATGATAAGAAATATATTTTTTTATTGCAGCCCATTATGTGTGAGTGTGTGCCTCTTAACCGTTTACAGAGTAAATTATGAAAGAAAACGTTTGAGTTTATTACAGTCGAAACGTGAGTTTTTCAAAAGCATACGAAAAGCCGTCACCTTTTCGTGAGATAAATTGTGTTTGTGCCTGTGACTCACGCCCAAAAGGAGCAAAAATCTGGTGGATAGATGTTTGCAGTATACTCGTAGGTGTGTTTGTTTGTAAATGATGTACGTTGGCGTAAAAAATAAATAAAACTGAAAACATCATATTAGATAATATGGAGAAAAAATACGTATTTTTTTATACATATATATTGTATATCAAAAAAAAAAAAAAAAAATTAAAAAAAAAGTTGGAAAGGGAACGGCGAAATGGCTTGTTTGATTTAATTAAAAGGCAAATAGAAAGTAAACAACTATAAATATATTTATATGTAGATAAGTAATGGATTCACTGAAGGAGCAACAAAGAGATATAAATGAAAAGTTGCTGTTATAAAATAATATACATAATAATACGTAAAAGAATTTATTTCAAATATTAAATTGTTTTCATTTTTATTAGAATAAATTTAAATAAATGGATTAAAGAAAATGCCGAATTTTATTATTATAATATTTCTTTTCGACCAAATGCTATTAATAAAACTTAAACATATTAGTAATGAATACAATAAAAAGAAGGTCCGGCATACAAATGACCCTATCGATAGTCAGAGATGTAGGAAAGGAAGGGAGGGAAATATAGTCCGGCATAGTCGGTTTAGATAATTCTTTTTGCATTGCAGTTGGTTTCGCGGATACAAAATTTTATCCAGAAAGGTAGGAAAGAGGGCATGATTCGTTGATTTCGCGGTATAATGCGCATAACTCGTTACCACGCATACCGATTGGGAAAATTTTTCTTTATCAGATATGGCATACGCAGAAGATACAAACCGGACCGGGTAACCGGTTTATTGTTGAAAAAGTATTAAGAAATGAAGTATTTACTCTGTTGTAATTAGTAGATTGGTATCACACAAAATTATATAAAAAAGACTTAAAAAGAACTGCCGAAAAACTAAAAGGAAAAATATAGGGCTATCCATTTCGAGATTTCAAGAGTACAGAGCTGTACTTTGACATATGTCGAGAACAGCAGTACACAAAACAGGGTTTGTTTAAGTAACTGCAAAACGTGTTCAAATTGTTAAAACGTACAACAAAAATGTAGGCTATATTTGAGCCCATTTTGTGCTTTAAGGGGAAGTTATTGCTCAAGCCATTGGTAAAATTGCTGAAGGCGTCTACAGCTTATACTAACCCGCCTCCTAACGGTTGAGGATTTTTTATGAGGAGCTTTTGCTCATGTTATGTCAGAAATACACTGACATTCCCTGCCGAAGGGCGACCGTAATTAGAAAAATTATTTTAATTTATTTTTTTTTAATTAATTTTCTATAATTAATTTTTTTGGATCATTTGCAGCTACGAGAGTCCTCTAATATTACATAAAAAAAAAAAATAACTTACTGACTGGTGCGTACTTTGGTGCCAAGGTGTGATTGCACCTTACTTTTTAGAAATCGACAATGGCGAGATTCCCACTGTCAATTCGGAGCGTTACGATCGTATGATAACAGAATTTTTTGGCCTGCAATTGACGAACACGTCCGGCTCGTGTTGAACACATAAAGACGGATACTAAAAATTGGAGGATGAGCTCGACCGAAAATCAGCTAGGCTTAAAGAAGCCCCAAATTACATTCAGCATGATTGACATTCCCTGCAAAGGGACGATTTAGAAGCAATAATTTTAGGAGCTAGTCTAGTCGAGATGTGAGCACACGTCGCAGGAGGCGCTGCTCGCCTTCAGCAGTCGTAGGTGAATAAAGTAGTTTTAAAGCAATATATCTTTTTATTACATTATTTATATTTTAAATCATTTACCGCGATCTTTTGCACAAAAACGTCCCACTGTGTAATGTTGAGATTGCCAAAAGACGAGTAGAAACATTAAACGGATGGATGTACCATTAGTAATGCATTTTTATTTATGCCTTTATGCACTAAGCATACACGTAGATACATACATACGTACGTACGTAAAACCATTTATCTTTGCTTGGTGTCTTAACATGAGTTCCGTTATCACTTATTTTAGGTTCTTTTTGAAATTAATCTTTTTCAAATAATTTTCTGTGATAAATTTTTAATTAAAAACCGTTAAACTTACTCATAGCGAAATACCGTCATCTCATACTCGTAAGATGGTGGATGGCATATAATAAATAATAGTTGTATTTGTTATGAACTAATTAAATATTTGCACTTACAGCTGTACATGTATAATACATACATATATTTGTTTGTACATATGTATACTTTTAATGATTTCCGCCAATCAACTACTTACATATTAACATACATACATATATACATACATACATTAATACATTGTGTTGACGAGTTCAAGCAACTGTTTGATAAGCATAATTTAAAGTACATATTTAATTTGCATATGAAAAAAGGAGACCATTATTGTTGTTGTTGCGAATATTGTTTTCAAGCGCTGACACTAAAGGAGCAATAAACTGTTATTGGCAAAATCTACGTCTGCATGCATTTTTATCCATTATTCTACCATTCAATTTCGTTTTTTTTGTTTTTGTTTTCTACAATAACAAAAACAGGCACTTATACCATGAAATGTAGTTGTTTGTATGTACGTATGTACGTATGAATATAATGCGCATATCATTTTGTTAATTAAAAGCTTAGTTGCTTATGGTTGTTATTCTTGTTGTATCTGCTGTTGTCGCTGTTGTTGCTGTTGTTGCTGTTGTTGCTGCCTAATTCAGTATGTGGGTTGGTAGAAAACGTTCGCAAAACGTGTCGCTTAAAATTAAAATCAATATGCAAACTTTAATAAACACTTTTGCTGGGCTTGGTTGCGTGTGTTTGTGAATATACATATGTATGTATGTATGTATGTATGAACGGATGTACATATCTGTAATATTCAATGATACGCTCGGGCGTATACGTAATCAAATGAAGAATATGTCTTTAAATGAACGTTCTTATGGTCTGCATAACCGAAACTTGTTAACGGTAAGTAATACAGATTAAAGTCAAAAATTTTTAATTAATCTAACAAAATGTTACCATCCAGAACCAAATTTATATTTAGCCATTTCTGATTAAAATAAAAGAGTTTATTAATTACACTGGCTTGCAGAAGAAACACTTTTGTTGTACGCCACGTTTTTTTTGTTTATGTTCATTCAATTAATTAATTCAGATATAACGGCGTAGAGGGAGCTCTTTTCGTGCTGTCGAAGGCAGCTTTGGAAATAACGAAAGCTGACGTGTGTCAATCTTCTTTTCACGGATATTTTCGGAGACTTGGCGAATATCTGCTCGATGGTGGATTTAGCAGGTCTTAAACTGATACTGATAAGATCTTTTGCACAATACGCTCTCTAAGACCATATATGCGACATTTGAGCAGCTAATGCCGTGGTAATTGTCGCAGACCGTGGGGTCCCCTTTTATGGATTGGGCATCTGAGATCATTTAGATTACAATCGTTGGGCATGCTTTCAGCCCACTATTTTCCACAAAGAAGCTGAAGCATGCACCTCTTCAGCACTTCGCCGACATGGTTAAATAACTCTGTCGGTAGGCCATCGGCTTCAGCTACTTTGTTGCTCTTTAAGCGGCAATGACAAATTTAATTCTTCGCCCTCGAGTGGGATTTCGGGTCCACCATCATGAGTTTTGTGCTTTCACTGCCATTCCCCAGACTGGAGAAGTCTTCCCTTCAAGTCTTACCTTCAAGTGTTCCCTTCAAGTCTTACCTTCAAGTCTTTCCTTCAAGTCTTCCCTTCAAGTCTTCCTTTCAAGTCTTCCTTTCAAGTCTTCCCTTCAAGTCTTCCCTTCAAGTCATCCCTTCAAGTCTTCCCTTCAAGTCTTACCTTCAAGTCTTCCCTTCAAGTCTTACCTTCAGGACATCGGTCAGCAGATTACCTTTTTGGTCCCTACATAAGAACACTCTGGTCATGAAACTTTCTGTCAGTCGCCGCATCTTTTCACATAATTTTCGAGTGTTTCGGCCTTTTTTTGTCTACCTCTCTAGCTCTCGATATCTATCCCACCGTTCACGTGTTGTGGTTCAAAGAAAACTCGTGAGGTTTCTCTTCACTGCGGCACTGAGAACTGAGCTTTGCCCATCGTACCAGCTCGTTTTTGGCGCTGTGAAAAACTAATTGTTTCAGTGGCGGTGGTGCGTAGGGAGTTTGAGATACCGTTACAGAGCTCTCTTATATCGAGTTGCTGATAAGAGTTCTCGGAAGCAGGTGTGAAAGTCGAGTAGAAAGCCATTATTGATTTCAAAATACGTAATTAGGGTGTTAAAAATTTCGTAGATAATCGCTGTGTTCCTTTTGTCTGTGTTTCTTCTTGTAATTAAAAAAATATTAGAGGGATAACACCAAAATAAAGCAAATTCCATAAACCCATTTAAAACCAATAGTTAAACTCAACTCAGCTGGCTTCGGTTTTTTTGTGAGCTGGGTTGGCGGTCGCGGTAGCCGAGGGGTTAGTATTCCGTACTGCCATTCGGAACGCTTGGGTTTCTGGTGTCGTACTAACATCCAAAAATTACAGAAAAGTAATTAAAATAAAAAATTAAGTTTATTTTTCTAATTATGGTCACCCCTCGGCAGGGAATTTCAACCCCTCCGAGTATATTTCTTACATGAAAAACCTCATAAAAACCTCAGCCTTTCGGAGGCGGCTTAGTATAAACTATAGATCTCGCCATTTGTTGGAAAAACATCAAGGCGCAAAACCACAAATTTTGAGGAGGATCTCGGCCAAAAGTCGCTTCAACGGTTACAAAGCTTTGACTAAAACAAAATATGTTTGGTTTGGCAGTTAGGTTTTGACAGATGTCGAAATACAACCCTGTACTTTGGAAATCACAAAATGAATTTGTTTTCCAAAGACAAAAACTAAACTTTTCTGAGGGTCAAAACGTTAAATCTTATTTTTTTACTTTTTTCGTGCGCGGTATAAACTAAGTGGCATCTTAAAGGAAACGGTATATTTGAGAACTCAGACTCACAGCCGTATTTTCACACATACAAAAAGCACTTATAAATTTGTATCTGCCAAGTTATCAGCAGTAAGTGAGAGTATCTTGAAACAATAAAAAAAAAATGTAAATACAGCAATGTGGAGTGCGACACGCATACACACATACAGATGCAACTTTCAATACATATACATACTTATACCATGTACACGTATGTTGGTATGTACACTTAAATTAATTTACTTGTATTTGTTGATTTGCTATTTTTTTTCAATATTTGTTCATGCTCCGAGCTTTGCTACTCAGTTTCGGAGATCAGCACATAGTATTTCAAGCGCTACCAACCAACGCTCCAATTCAAATAGAAGTCAGTTATCGTAGCGAAAAGACGTTCGTTTCAAAAAATAGCGGACACCTTTCATAATACTCGTGTAGGTCTCGAAAACGGGCGCGCGCGTTGGTGGTCTGAAAATAAAAAAACAACTCGATCGTTTTCGGCTTGTCAGTGAGTGAGTTTTTTTTTGCTTGGTTTTGAGCAATAACAAGTCCAGAAGGCGCTGAAAGTGTTTACAGGCGACAATAACAGCAGACGTCGTCCAAAAAATAATTATAATTGCAATAACATAATGCAGCAACAATAAGCGTAGAAGAAAATAATAAGTAATCATAAGGAAATTTTATTTTAAAAAACCCAAACTCAAATTTTGCACCTGTTCAAAGCATAAGTGATATTGAACTTGAAACGTATCAAAAAGGCGTTGTAGTGCTTTTGAATCTGCGGGCAGATTTCAGCGAAAAACACGTAGAGAAAAAACTGCAAACATTTTTTAGTGCATTTTGTAGAGAAGAAATTGAAAAAATACTAATAAAAAAAATAGTAAAAATAAAAGCCAACAACACATCCACGTACAATATGCGGAATATATACTTTCATGTCGTGACCAAAGTGTTGCTGCTCAGCTTTATTTTCACCGCCACACAGTTATCAGCAGCGTAAGTTTATCGGCAAGAGCCGAATGTTTGCTTGCTTGTCAAAGTAATGAGTGTTGTTGTCAGTTCATATATTTTTTTTTTCAAATTATATTTTCTAAACAAAAAATTTTATATTTTTGCTGTTGTTCCACAAATTTTTGCTGAGAAATATGCATTAAAAAGCGAATTGTCTATTCGTACCTTGACGACAAACACGGCTAATTAGTAGAAAAGTTATGTCAATATACCGCTAACAAGATCCGCAACTCCTTGAACTACAAAAATTTGTGGCACGCTTTTTTTTGTTTTATTTCGTTCAAATTTACACGTGACAAAAACTGTGCGAATGCGTACAGAAAGAATAGTAGAAAAATATTTATTCAGTTGACTACTGCGTGAACGCGTGTAACAGTTTTTTTTTTTGCATTTACTATTTTTGTTTTATTTTTTCTGCATTAGAACCGGTGTATATGGGGCTGTATATGTGCGTACATATGTGTATACAAGCTGATTGATAATGAAATCTTTACTAAAAGCTTGTAAACACATAGACGCATATGTACGTTGTGGTATGTAGATATGTAAGCCATTGTAATTGTTGCTCATACGCACTGGCGCGACGAGTTAAATACGAGTAGATTCGATAGTTGAAGGTTGACTTAACCTCAAAATTTAATGTTTATGATTGAGACAAAAAAAATGAAATAAATAAAACGAAAGTGCATATATGATGTTTTGAATGATGCCGTAAAAATGCCGTTTTTACACTCACATTGTGTATAAATATGTACGAACGCACATACATATGTAAATAATAATTGTAATTTTCACTACATAAAAACTTGTTTGACCAAATAGCTTCGAGTGGGTGTCGTGTTTGCGCCAAAAACTAAATAATTGCCGCATGCAATTCTTAATTCTATCTTTTTACAAGTTACTCCATTTTTATAAGTAATAAGTATAAGTTGTATGTTCTCATTCCATTCATCTTTGAAGTTTGTGTTGTAAATCTACATCATCGAAATGGCATAAGAGAGTTAAAAAAACGATAAAACTTTAAAAAGTCTAATCCTTTTTTAATTAAGAATCAATAAGAGTAAAATATCACAATGTAAATTGCTTTCATTTATTTTAATAGTAAAATTAATTAAATTATTATTTTTTACTTATTTATAAAAAAATTAAATATTTACTGGAAAATACAGAAATTTACTTCAATATATTTATTTAGGAGTATAGACTATATATTTCGCTTCATTTTTTTATGTTTTTTTTTTCAATTATTACTTTTTTTTTAAATTGTTTTAACCGCCGCTTTGGCTATAACGAGAAGCTGAGCTTTCTTGTGAGTGAATATGATATTTTTCAAATAGTCACGAACGTAAGTTATGACGTTCGCGAAAAAAAACGGTGTCAAAAAATCCATGATGAATTGGTCGTCGCTTCCGGTCCGCTGTCTTTATGCTTTGGCGCAAAACTAACATTTTATTTTATAGTTATTCCTTCATTTTATTATAGTTATTTTGTGTTATTCTGTTAAATTTTATTCTTTATTTTGTTATGTATTACTTTGTTTTATTTATTTTATTGTTATTTTCTATTTTATTTCATTGATTCAATAAATTTAATTATATTGAGTTAAATTAAATTTGATTAAATATGATATTTAATAACGTTAAGTATTTTACTTTACTTTGTTCATTCGCTTTAATTTTATTTAGTTTGTTTATTTTTTGTTTCTTTAGTTTGTTTCTATTTTTTTTAGTTTCCTACAGAAAATTAATTTAAATAAAAAATTAGGGTAAATTTTCTGATTGTGTTCGCCCCTCGGCAGGGAATGTCAACCCCTCTGAGTGTATTTCCGACATGAAATAAAAGCACCTCCTAAAAAACCATCAGTCGTTCGGAGGCGGCTTAATATACACAGGTCGATCCATTTGTTGAAAAAAAGTCAGGTCGAAAAGCCACAAATCGGACCATGAGCTCGGCGGAAAATCGCTCGAGCGACTACAAAGCGCCAATTATATAAATTTTCTTTTTTTTTTTTAAATATATATAATTTTTTAATTTCACATCATTTCATTATATTTTTGTTTTATTTTAGTTTATTTATTTTTTATTTTATACTTTCACGATTTATCTTCGATAAAATTTATTCAACTATTTCCACGATGGCTGATTTTGGCCTTGACGAGTCTTCTAGAGCGGAGCCGGACTTGCGGCTTTGTTAAAAGAGCCCATGCTGCTAAGTCAATGTTTCCAGAACCACACTATTTCATTAATTTGAAAATAACCTCTACTATAGTATCGAATGATAGTCACGAACCCTTCAAAATTTTTAAAAACAGTGATTGTAAAACCCTTTCGATCTATTAGACTAACATACGAATATACTTATGTATTTATTCAAATATTTTCACTCGTCCGTTTTTCCCTTCTACTCGATATATCATTCTCTATAAAATCTATACAAATATCTATCCCTTGTAGGTGGGTAGATAGAGTAGGCCTCCAACGACATACCGACGCTTTCAGAAATTAAGTTTTAATACTACTGTGATTGAAATTCTCTAGACATTGTCATGACCTTTCTGATCCAATGTGGAGTTTTTATGATTTTAATTATCATCAAGGAAATATTCCTCTTAGGTCATCACTAGCCTACTGTTGTGTCTGTCAACATTACAGTGATCTGTTTACCCTTCTATTAGAGCTCTTACGTGATTTCTTTTAAATTTCAATTATGTTTGTTCGCTGGTTGGGTAAGTCCGACATTGTTCCCAGCGTGATCCGGTTATGTCTTTAACACGTTTTTCAATTTAATTCTTACAAATAGGAAAATGCGTTCCTACTTTATCTAGATCTTATAACAAAGTGGTGCCTCATCTAGGATATAGTGCAGATTTTTTGAGAAATAAAATGCTAGGTCTACTTACAAATCAAGACATTTTTTCCTTAATATGATGAGATCCTTTCATTAATGATATCAAAACCGCTCGGCTACCTGTTTATCGGGACCAGAGGGCATTAAATACAGCAATATTCGCTTGAAAACACTGCTGTGGTCCGGTAGATTTAATGCCTCCCTGGTATCTAAGAAAGAAATATAAATTCATCTCGAAAACTTTGCGAAGAATTAAACATTCCTGTGTAAAAATAGAATCTAATCTCCACAGCTTATGGTAAATGAATATGACTTAATGTTGGCCCTGAATGTATTGGATGAGTGTATAAGTTCGTGCCCGATTCCGCTGAATGCCGTTCGAATCGTTTGAGAGTGGCGCTCGTGAAAGAAATATATACATATTATATATCGTTGGAAAGGTGACAGTCCGAACTGTAAATCAAGCATAAAATAACTTCATTTCGATTTGAGTTGCTTAGTGAAAAGACGCATGAAAGATGGACANTGGATTGCCGAACATGATGGCGAATACATAATTGATTAATAAAAGCGCTTTCTTCAAAAAATTTCAATTTTAGTTTGCCCTTGAAATCGGGCAGGAACTTATGCACTCATCCAATTTTTAGATGCGATACAGATTTTCATTCACAATTCATTCCGTTTTGTTTTTATAAAGTTATGAAATACTGTTTCATATCTCGGTTTACTTCAAAGCGGACGAACGGATATGTTTTATTAAAAGATCGTGATATTTTTTTGAAAGAGACATTTTCTAAATTTAGAAAATCTAATTTTATTACTATTTTTGTTGCAGCGTAGAATAATTATTGCATGAACATCGTTAATTTTTGTTTGCGCACAGTCCTATTTATTGTGTAACTACATTCATTGTTAATATGTATACACACATACATGTATAATAGGGCAGCTGTTTCAACTAATTTCCGTTAGGAAACCAGCTAATACTATTTAAACAAATAAAATTAAAAGCGATGCTAGTCCATATCACAACATTTCTAATTAAATTTATTCCAAGACATTTGTATGAGCACATATACACACATACACACATGTACACTCTTCTTCTATGGTCGAGTGCCGCTAATGAACAAACAAAAGCAAACGAATAATGCCGCATTGCACATGCGAATATGAAAGCATTTAAAAAGCAATAAAAGTTATTATTTTTTCTTACCATTTTGCTTTTGTTTTCGCAAGAAAACAATCGCTGTAATGAGCTTCGAAAATCCAGATGCAAATAACAGTGAGATGCTTATGCACAAATTAATGAAAAATTAAAATTGTTTAAACAAAATGTTAAATTGCATATTGAGTAAACAAGAAAAAAGACCGAGCGATAAGTGCTTAGTTGGTAAGAAAAGTAAAAAATAAATAAAAACAAAAAAAAAATATTCAAAAGTTCAAAAATAAATAAATAAATATAGCAGTAAAACTAAAAATAATAATAATTGTCCTTAAGTGTAACGGTGAAGGTTAAAAAAACATTATTAAAATTTTCCAACAATTAAAAGTTTTTATTTGCCAGGGATTATGTCTCGAAATGTGCGCAAATATACATATATACACTTGTGTACGTATATATGTACGATTTTCACAAAGTTCTTACAGAAATACGCAAATGGGATAAAAGATTGCGGGTTAGGTTAAGCCATTTATTCGCTGAGTTAAGTTAATGCGCCTGCTAATCATAGAAACTAACTTCTGGTTTCTGGTTCCTTCATCTAACCAATTCGAGTGTCTTATGAACCTTGTCATATTACCTATATCAGCCTTTGCTCCGACAGTCAGTGATGCCCTAAATACTTATGTCGGATAGTTCTTAGTGTTAAAGTTAGTGTTTGTGAGATTCTTCCTCTTTTTCGCCTCTCCAGCTTCGCCAAAAGTCATTCAAGAAGTATCCCATTCTTCTCCGACAAAGTCCTACTGGACAGTGTCCAGTTAATATAAAAGTTGTTGTATTGACGGTGAACAGGTCTAGAAGTATTAGATTTCCTGATATTTTCGAATCCAACACACTCCAAAGCTGTCTAGTCATATTACAAAGGCAGCTTCAGCATGAGTTGTCTCTTGCTAGCTGCACAGTAGGCTTTGATGCCCCCGAGAGTCTCGCTGTTTTAACGCCACCTTAGATGAGAGGAAATCTGATGGTAGCTTAGCTAGCCTTGTATATGGTGACTGTTTGATTTGTAATCCGAGATCTGAGAAACCATTCTGCGTCTTCCGTGATTGCAATTAGTTTTGCTTTGAATAGGCTGAACTAGTCTGGTAGCCTCGAATTAAAATTGGTCGAGAGCGTTGGTGAGTGAACCTCATAGCCTACCCTCTCATTGAGTTTAGAACGATTCGTAAAGATCCACAGCATGTGAATGATCTCATTTATTCCTATGCGGGCGTAGTCCAGCTCTGCTCCAAGGCAGGGAGTGTCATATTCGATTCGATTTTCGCCCATACCATTGCCACAGCTTCTTACTATGTGTAGGGCAATTTGGAGTAAATCACTGAAATTTTTGCGGCTGCGGGGTTCGTTATACCGTCGGCCTCGGCGTGTTTGCTGTTTTACGGTATTTTAGCCCCGCAGCAGTGAAGGTAAGTCTCCGCCTTGAGGGATACCTCTTGAGTTGTGTCTGTATTACCAGACTACATTAATATATTTCCTTTTAAGCTTTCCATACCAAAATTTGTCTCTGCTTGTTTAATAAAAAAACAAATTTTAATAATCTTTTTATTTTTTTCGGCATTTTTTAATAATATTACTTGTCTCTTATTTGCACTCATCTACATATTTCTGTAGTAAAATGCAGGTAGAACAAAATGACCAAATATAAATGTATAAGTATATACTCGTATGTACATATAAAATATATTTTGTGTGTGCGTGTGCATATAAATTTGTATATACGTGTACATACATATGTATGAGCGTGTGCTTATTTACTCCATTCAAGTAAATATTTACACAGCACGTTTGTCATCTGAATTTAAACAACTGTGACTTCGTCATGGCTGATCTCTTTTATATCAGCAAAATTGACAGTTTTTATTAACACCTACATTCAATTCGTATATTAAAGTAAATTTTGTTGTTTTTGTTTTAATTTCGAATTTAAATATTGGTAGAAAAGTTATGTTTACAGTTGTATATTTGCGGAGAAGCTTAAGAATGTATGTCGTCGTCGATGCTTGAAATAAGATAAATTCAGTTCAAAAGTAGGTTTTGGGCGATAAGTTTTAGTTTAAGACATACAAACCGATATTCGAGTTTGAAATTTTATATACTGATAGGAGATCGCAATGATTGTTATAATTTTATAGCATATTTTAGGGCGATCATGACGAATTATTTGCAGGTTTATTGCATACCTTAAGGCGTTACGAAAGTGGTTGTATGTATGATTTCAGATGACCTTGTTTTTAATTAATAATTATCCAACTCTTTGCTTAATATCAAAAGCTTAAATGTAAATAAAAGAGCACGGTTTTAGGCGCAAGTATTTTAATATTATATACGAGTACACTGTATCTGTTAAAAGTCCTTGACACCGTCAACCATTCAGTGAAGAGTGAAGATATCGACCATGGGCTACCTGAGAAATGGACAGTCATCAGTAGAATTTCAATCTTCGGAGCTCCAGAGGTTAAATAGGGAGTTTCACAGGGTGCTTAGTTTTTACATCTCGAGTTTGGACTTGTCCAAAGAAATAGTTTCGTGGCTGTTGGACGTGAGGGTCTTAAATGTGGAACGATATCTTAGTTTCCTTACAACGAATTGTTGATGGTGCTCTCAGAGAGCAGGAGTGCAAGTCGAGCACAAAACCGTTTGGTTGTCTGTTGTGATGGCATCTCCTTAGTTTTGTTCGCAAATACTTGTGAAAATCATCTCTTTGATGAATGAGAAAACTCGCATTCGATTCACCGTCCTATTACTCTATACTTAAAGCAATGAATGAACTAGAGCTGAATATTTCATTTCTTCTAAGATTTAAGCTAGTTAGATTACTCAACGTACATTATTATATATTATCATTTTTTTTTTCCAGGACGTCTCAAGAACTGGAGGAAGACTGTCCGCCGATCTCGAATGCCACAAATTTGCAACAAACACAACTCATACAACGGCTGACTCATGTTTGTCGTTATGATCGTCTCGAAAGACCAATCGGTAGGTTTGTAAAACGGAAAAAAAATCCTTTGAAGTAAGAATATTTTAATTATATGCATGATCTTCTTCCAGAATATGGTCAAAATGGTGAGCGCCTGCCAGTCACAGTTAGGGCGCGTATCTACGTATACTTTCTACAAAATCTCAATTCAGACTTACTGCAATTCAAAATGCACGCTCTACTACAGTTGAGCTTCAACGATAGTCGCCTCGCGTACAAAGAATTGAAGAGACACGACAATATCATTGGCCAGAAGCATTTAAGCGAACGTCTTTGGCTGCCGCATATATTTTTCGCCAATGAGCGCGACTCCAGTATTTTAGGTACCGATGAGAAGGACGTGCTCACCTCCATTTCACCCGAAGGTCGTGTGGTCATATCACAGCGGTTACAAGCGACACTTTATTGTTATATGAACTTCAAGAAATTTCCCTTCGATGAGCAGTTCTGTTCCACTGTGTTGGAGAGTTGTAAGCAAAACGAGAATTTCATATGAAATGTAGTTCAAATTTTAATGATCTCCTTTGTATCATAGGGATGTACAATAAAACGGAGATGGTACTCAAATGGGAAATGTATTCACCGATCTCCTTCGATCCCGAAATGCATCTCACCGAATACAACATGCAAAGTTTTTGGTATAATGAGACCATCGTGAACTCGGATGGTATAAATTTACGTCACGGCTCATTCGGTAAGTAACATGCAGAACAACAAATTATTAATTAAATGCAATTTAAAACTTTTATTTATTTTTTTGTTCTTAAAGTATTTTTTTATTTTTATTAATTATTTTTATCCCTTTTTTATTCATCTTTTTTAAGTGGGCAACTACAGTTCGCTTAGTTTTACGGTGCATCTTACACGTGAGACCGGTTTCTATCTACTCGATTACTTCCTGCCGTCTATGATGATTGTAGCGATATCATGGGTCTCATTTTGGCTGCAGGCCGATCAGTCGCCACCTCGTATTATGTTAGGTTAGTCGCCTGCTCCGAGTTCGAATACAACTCATGCTGATCTGCTCTTTTGTGCAAAAAAAAAAAAATATACTTGTACTCTCATCTCTTTCCAGGTACCAGCACTATGCTCTCATTCATCACATTATCCTCCTCACAAACGAAAGCTTTACCTAAAGTCAGCTACATAAAAGTATCTGAAATTTGGTTTCTTGGTTGTACATTCTTCATTTTCGGCAGTATGGTGGAATTCGCCTTCGTCAATACAATTTGGCGGCGGAAAGAAAATGTGGAATTGAAAAAAGTTAATAGTAAATATATCGTGAAAGCCTCATTAACGCCACGTCCAACCCGACGAGATATGAATAAGAATAATCTCTCACGTACGCGGTCCTGTTCCAGTCTCGATAATATAACATCCAGCACGGAGAGTGTGCTGAAAGGACATTCGAATCCCGGTTTCAATAATTATCTGACTGTGCATGTAAGTAAAGTGGCAGTGGATGTGTGTTTCTATTTCGGTAGTTAGTGAAGTTTTGGACTTCTAACAGGGCTTACTAGTAAATCCTATGGGTATGAGACAGCCGAAGATCCAGCCAGCATTAAAGTTTATAGAAAATGAATTAAAATAAAAAAAATTAGTTACTTTTCCCTATTGTGGTCGCTCCTGGGCAGGGAATGTCAAGATATGAAATAAAGGATGCTAAGCCCATATGTTGGAAAAATAGAAGCCGTATGCCACAAAATGGAGAAGTAATTTGGAGAAAAATTACTTCAGAGGTTATAATCATTTATATATATACATACATATGTATATAATTATATATGAGATATATTTAAACTAAAAATTGTTGTCTGCAGAAGAAATTCAAATTAAATTGTGATTCTCAGATTTTGTCAGGTTGACTCATAACAGAGACATTCATATGAAATAAAAAAATTATCAATCGATAAAAGAATTCAGGCGTTTAAAAAATTCACAATTTCTTCAAATGGAGCTACATAATATAAGGAAATAAAATAAAGTTCAAAAAATCTGAGACGAACATATGTCCTTTTTGGTTACGTTAACCTTAAATTTATTCATAACCCCCTATTTTGCTAATAAATTTAAAATTGAGATTCATAAATCTTAGAATAATATTATTACTAATTATTAATTAAATCTTTTTTTTTGCAGAATTTACCTATAATCACCACCGAATGCGCAGATACAGCCTCAGTGACGAGTGAGCGCCATAGTAATGGCACTGATCACGTTGTTAACATCGACAAGGATGGAGGTTACGATGTGAACGGCAAAGACAAGGAAGAAATGGCTGATCACACGACATTCACCACAATGACACCACAAGAGATTGCGATGTGGATTGATAGGCGTTCACGTTTTCTATTCCCTGTAATGTTTTTAGCCTTTAATGCGCTCTATTGGACTTTTGTCTATTGTTTTTGATGTAATATATATCTAGGCGAACCTATTAATAATAATAATAAGAACATTGTAGTATTATTTAACAATTAGCATATTCACACCAAATGATTATTGTCTAAGCTAATTCCATTGTAAATAAGAAAACAGAAGTATTTTTTCTCTATATGTAGGTACATATGTACATATGTTATTAATACTGTACATAGATTCACTTATTGTAATAATGTTATTATGTAAGGTCTCATCTAACGCTCAACAAAACAATATTTTATAAGCTACGCCTTAGCTTTTGCAATACTAGTCATTAAGTCAGTACAGACATATTTACATAAATACGAAAACAGTTGAATAGCATATGTTTACTATTATGTACATAAGTTTCATTTATATTAGTTCCATATATCTGTACTTAATTTCACAGAAGTATAGAAGATCGATTTCTCTTTTTTTAGTACACATGTACACATACATACATATATCTATGTATATGTACATACATTTATAGAAAGTTCTGGTGCAATAGGCCCAAAAGGCCATGTATGCATTTAAATTCTACGATTTTTACGCATGTCATTTTATCTGAAAATAAATACTTTTTTATGAAACTATTGATACTCGAACATTTATGTATGCACACATGTATGTACTGGGCGGTGTGCGGGAATGTAAGGTAGGTACAACGAAAACACGCTTGCTACATACATATATATCACTATGTATATACATAAATATATACGTATATATTGTGCCAGTCTCCACACTTGTTTTTGAAATTTTACTTCACATCTCTTATCACATCACTTTGTTTTGCACAAATTTTGATGAGTCAAATCTAATTACTCAAGCATCAAGCATTTACTAAAATTTCATAGGAACTTAATTTACTATCTATGTTCTTTTAATTAGCAACAAATATGCAGATATCAAATTTAAAACTTCCTATTCTTTGACTGTACCTCACATACAAACGTAAGTACATATATTCCTAAATATAATAATATAATAAATTCATTTAATTAATTAAAATTTGCTGATTATCAGATACAAAGACTGGTCTTTTGAAGCTATTTTTATATCAAATAATTTTTTAATGTTACTTTTAATATGAATGTGACAAATACCTGCTATTTTGGCTTTGTTGATTCGTGTGTGGTTCGTCTTTAAAAAAAAAAAATCAAGCAAATTCTCTTCAAATTAGAAAGTTTTATTCGGAATAATTTGCATTTGCTTCTTTTCGCAACCATTTTGAAAATCTCAAAATAAAACAAAATATGTTACTTTACACCAGATTACTGCAGATTGCTGAATTTGAGGCGCTCTACATTGATAGTACGAACAAACCTTCCAAGTTACACAAAAGCCTTTCAGTTATAACAAGTGACTCAAGCATGGAGGGGAGGAGTAGATTTCAAAAAACTCAAACTTTCTTTGAAATGTTTTCACTTTACTACCGTATAATTTCTATGTACGCACATGAGCATACACCACAATTTCAATTAGCTCGAGTGAACGAAAAACTCAACATTTCCGGTCTTAGTTCGCACATTTCCGGGTAGTAATGAAGAAATTTCGATAATATTTATGAATAATAGTACTAAGAACTCATATGTAAATTTATACAACATTAAGCTATAATGTATAGAATACATAATTAAAGTAAAATTTAATTTTCAAAGATTGTTTGCTTAAATCGTGCTTAATACATTTGAAAAGAAAAACTAAGAAAAATTTTTGCCTGGCAATAATTAAATGTCAAATATATCTCTAAAGACAGTTGCCATTAGAACGATGTTGCTTCTTAGTTAGCACGTAGATATTTTTTTGAGATCTATGCAATTTATTACTTCTAAAAAAATTGTATAAGCCCATTTCACTACTCATTATTTCAGCAATTTTAAATCCAGTTAAAATAAAATATATATATATATATATATATATATATATTCAAATATGTGTTGGATATACGGAACGAAGTGATTACATTCCCTAAAGGGATATTTGGGGGTGTTTACAACACTGTTATGTACCATCTGTTTCGTTCTATGTTTTTTTTTTCGTTCATCGTGTTGTAAATTGTCGAGCCAGGTGAAAGGCACTCAATTTTTTTGTGTTTTTATTTGAACGAGGTAATAGAAGATAATTGTTGGCAAATTTTCCAAAAATAATATTCAATTGTGATATAGAACAAAATGCTATAAATATGCATATTTCGGCTAAATCTCGCACAAACGCTAATAAGCTCCCGGTGCAGTCACAAAGTTTGGTGGCAAATCAAAAAAATTACATAACCCAAATTGGGCTGCGAATTAGGACAAAAATAAAAATTTGCAAAAATGTTCATAATTACAATTTGCATATTTATACAAATAATTGTGCATCTTTTAGCTTGTTGACATTAAGCGCGATGCTCTAAATGGTGAATATTTGTTATTTTGTAATTCCAGTGTAGAGAATTCGTAGAAGCCAAACAAAATGCGCGTCACATCGTCCCTGCTTGGAGCCCATTTCGGCAACTTGGCCAAGGTGCACGGCATTGTCACCTACAAGCTCTCGCCTTTTGAGCAACGTGCATTCGCTGGAGCGATAAGCAAAGGTCTGCCAAATATCTTCAACCGCATCCGCTCAAACATTTTCATAGTAGCACCACGTAAGTTGGTCACCGTGGGCTTATCAGAACTTTATTAATTTTTTATTTCAAATATTTTTCAGCTTTCATTGTTGGTTACTTAATCTATGATCTGATCGAACGTGAGCATCATCACTTGTCTCGCAAGAATCCCAAGGATTTCGAAAATGAAGAATAAAACCAATTTAAAATTATTTAGTTTGTGTACCATACAAAACCCAAAATGAAATATATAGCTTAATTCAAGAAAAACATCTATATTTCATTTGGTTTTGCAACAGATTTGGTGTTCGTGATTCTTAAATCAATGTATAAATTAAAATTACAAAACAGGCGCAAGCAACCTTCGAAAAGGCTGTATAATTTTTCTTTCACAGGTCGTGTAGGCATATAAAATTATAATTTATTAACGGATGATTCTCGCAAACTCTTCCTTCAGATTAACTTTTGTATTTTGGAAAAATTCCGAATATATTTCTAGTTTTTTGAATTATCATTGCTACCATTGTGGGTCACCCTGCACTAACGTAATGAAAACTGCAGAGGTGACGTAAGCATATCAGCTGTTGAAACCCGTCAACATACAATCAGAGAACATTCTCTGATACAATCCTCAGCTGTAATTTTGTCACTCAACAAATTTCTTTGTTTTTTTTCTACTATATTTCTATTATTTGGCGGAATTTGTATGAAGTTGCAATTGTTTGCATTTTATTTGTTTCACTTTCGATTTGTGCATACAAAAACTGTGCTGAAAAAAATATCGGGAGCATATTCTATCTGGAACTCAAAAATATTCTGGACTATAACGGATGCAGTTTGACAGGAGGATAAAATGGAAGATTGCTGCAGTAATGAAATGCGCAGTCAAACTTTTCACAACTTGTTGAAATCAGTATTGGATTCTAAAATTGTTAACATTCAAGTCTTCACCGTGGCCGTTGGCATCCTATTCATCGTGATTCTACTAAAAAATCGCTTTCGTAGTTTCTGTGGCACTTGACTATAATAAGACAAGGATGTATGTATGTCGATATATGTTGGTATTGTAAAGCTGGATATGTATTAACTTAATAAAATAAGATTAATTAAATGTAATTTAGTCTGTCTTTAATTAAATTATCTTTGCAGTTGGATTAAGGGTTCATGCATATGCGTAGAACTAGTCTTCATAAAGAATCCCTTAGAAAGGTTTTGAAGATAACAAACAATAAGTCAAATAGGGATTTTAAGATTCAAAACTACAAAGAAATTCTACGGAAAGTAGTTAATTATGCGTAGTCGAGAGGGAATACTTCGAATATATCATCGAATACTGGTCAAAAGCTCGTATGGACTTGTTATAAATATTGCTTTCATTAAGTACACATTCAGAAGATAAGAACTTGTCAGATATTGGCTTCATTAGATAACATAACACACAAATTTTAAAAATAATAAGAAGAATAGTGGATGTAAATATCCCAGTTTATTAAATACAAACAAATACGCGATTTATTATATCCATGCACAGTAAGCCACGCATTTTGAATTCAATTCAAATTCCTTAAGCTTTTTTTTTTATTTATTTTTCAAATTTAGTAGGGAAACTTGATTATTAAATAAGGATTTGAAGCTTTAGAGAAAACTCCTGAACACCAGCATGCTTCATTTTTACCAGAGAACAAGCCAGTGAGTTATGGAAAAGTCAAAAGCCTGTTAATCCATTACCCCTGACTGAATAAATATGTTGATGTTGAAAAGTCTGGATCCAGCGGTAGCAAACTACTTCACCAAGGTCTTCAAACTATCACTACTCTAAGTAATCACTCCTTTTCCCAGTACCGAAGGCATTTGAAGCCTTGGTGATGCCGTCATTTACCCCCAATCTGAACCCAGCAGAACAATAACATGGCTTCCGTGTGCAAAGTAATGCACTGAACGCTTTATATCCTCATATAACTCTTGGCTTCAACCAAAACAGACCTTGTCCGAGAGTTGTAGTACTGGACTTGTCGCGTGAGTGGAGCTATCTGCCGCATCTTAATCAGATTCGATCCAATGATCCAGTTTGACGCAAGAAAATATTTTCATATAGAATTCTTGAAACTGTCGCTTTTTAGGCCCTCAAAAACTTCCTCAAGTAACATTCTTTTTCCGTTGGTACAACCTTGTTGAAAGCGCTCCTATTACATAACCTCCACAAAATCGCCTAGCTTTGCTCCTGAACGGGATTACCTTGCCACTACAAAACAGCAAACAGTTCGCTCGATTTGATAATTTGTTTTTGTCTCTTCCATCCATGCATATCCATCTCCATGAGGCTGAAAATCGGACCATCCCAATCGACTGAAGGCCTGGTACATCCTCTTGTGAGCAGGCTCCACACAATGCCGACTCTATTTTACCTAGTATTTGGAGAAAGTGGTAGAGGCCCCTTCAATACACCTACAGTAATGCCAAGCTCTCTATTGTTTAATGCTAGTAAAAGTTTGCTCTGTCTGCAATCTATGCTTTACCATAGTAGCTTAGTAATCCGCCCTAAATTGAATTTGCTTCAAGACCGAATGCTCATCCGCCATTTCATTGGCTTCCTCGGTCGAGTAACCTGGGACCCAAGTAATATTCACTGTGTTTTCCGTGAGGGTCCTCTTTGCATCTTCTGATACACTTAGACTTCGTGTTGACACACGTAGCTGCATACAAAAAATCTGATAGATCTCTCTATTAAAGCGGTTTCTAATTTGGAGCCTTCAGTAAGACCAAATAATCTCTGCTTGGAAGCGGCTACAGGAGCGCTAACAGGAGAACCCTACTGTTGTGCATGCCTCGCATTGGGATATCCATGCCTTCCCCCATTCATTATTCACGGCTAGAGAAAGAGCATGTAGCTTGCACCTGTCAGAAGGTTTCCTTTCCCCGTTCGCACTATACGTTCAGCCCGAGTTCACTTATAACTTTCTGTATGGCCCCAGCTGGGTGCTAGGCTCGATTGCCGATCTTTGCATTAAACTATAATTAAAATTATCCGATTTATGTCAAAGACATTGTTCTTTGCTCGATAACTTTCTGCTATTTTGAAGGTATTGGAAGCCCCTGTCTCTATTTTCACAGGCTCTCTTCAGGAAAATTCTTCACCAGTGAAAGTATCCGCCACAAGACAAGAAGAGATGTTAACCGGTGTGGAGCTTCTGACGAGTCACTATCGATGTTTGCGGTCTGATATTCTCTTAATGAAACACAATTCCGATCCTGTTGGCCTAAGCTGGGCGTTTCTGGGCGATTGTTTCCTTCAGATGATCCAATTACTGACAATACAGCTCCGAATTAAGAGCTTGGCCGAATGGAAGCAGCATATAGTGGATGATTCTTTGCCAATACCAGCAAACGCACAAAACAACCTTCCTGTATATAAATATGTACGTAAACGTATATTTGTAATCAATTAAATTGACCCTTCCTCCTCCCTAACACCACAAATAATTTTATGCAGCGGAAAAGCTTCTGCACGTAATAAATATCCAAGTAATATGTGAATATGTATGTCATCTTTGATTGGGATATGGTACACACTTATATATGTATTGCCTACATACATACATACATATGTGTGAATCATTATGTCATTATGGCTATTGATTGTGACGACCCAATCCAATCAGTCGCCCCAACCATCGCGTACCAATGAATAAAATTAGACAACTACACGCGTCGCATTTCCTGGTGCGAGTGCGTAAATGGCTTCCTAGTCTGTTGATGGGACTAACTCTGTTAAACATCTACATGCACGCACACATCCACGGGCATTAGAGTATAATGTACCATATCAATTGGTCAACGCATTTGATTAGAATGCCAGTGGCAAACACCAATTGCCCGCTGGCGGCCAAAGCTTTTTTTCGGTTATTCTAAGAAATTCATGGAAATGCAATGCAATGCACTTAGAACGTGACTCAAAAGCATACAGAAAGCCGTTCCAAAGCGAGCGAGTAGCATGCCATCAAATCAATATGCAATAGAGCGTATTGGGTCGCAGGCATTTTATTAATTTTTTTTCTTATTGTCTGCATTTTATACATTCATTCATACACACGTATGAGTGTACATGTGTATGTATATTTTCGCCCTCAACCACATATGCATGTATATATGTATATATGTATGTATGTATATATGTATTTACGTTAAAAATAATATAAATATATTTATAAAGACCATTTGAGGATTATGCCCCGTTTGAACTAAATAAAGTTTATACATACAAACAATTAATTTATTTTCTTTGTGCTTAAATTATTACACTTTTATGAATAAAATAGCGCCATAAATTTAAAATAAACAAATTTTCTTACATTCGATTTTATTGCTTTACGTGCAGTTCACAGCGGGATGCGATTTGTTGCTTAGATTTATTGGGAAATTTATTTGAATTTCTGGTATTTCATCAGACAGTGAAAAACCTTTAGAAGAAATGTACGTATCCTTGTAGAAAAATAGTAGAATAACTAATGCTCCTTTCGTAGGGCGCCTCTCCTACCTTCTTTCTCTTTGGCACCAGTTAGTGCCTCCTCAAACAGAGGGAAGACACGGTATCGAATACTTTCAAAGCTGGAATACTCTTAATCATCTGGACCACATGACCGAGCCAGCGTGGCCGTTGTCTCTTCATTCGTCCAATCTGTCTCAATGCCACCGCATATCTCGTACAGCTCATCATCAACATAACCCATGAGGGCTTTACTTTTCAATTGACTGGTCAGTTCAAAGTAGCATTTCTTGGCAAGTGTGATTCTGCGTTGGATCTCAAGACTGACATTTTTATTGGTATTTATGCTTCTCCAAAGATAGACCAAATTACAAACAACCTTAAAGCGGCTGAAGTCGATAATCGGTTGCGATGGCTGAAACCTCGTTTGGAAGCGAACGGCTTGGAGAGGTCCTTCCCTATTCTTACTGTGCTTCTGGTATTGCTGAATGTCAGTTTACACAGTTTTACAGAAATGCCAAATTAAACTTATCGGCGGAGAGGCAGCTTCCTACTGTACTGTCAAAAGCAGTTTTAAATTCAATTAAAAAATTGTATTTACCGATTTTTTTTCACACTGATCAGGCCCAACCAGTTTGTAGATAGCCTTTAGTTTAGTATGTTGGTTTAGTGAGATTAAGTCTTTCACAAAATACGCTCGATAGAACCATATACGTATGTGATATTGAGGAGGTAATTGGAGCAGATTATAGGGTGCCATTTTTTATGGTTTGCACAGGTCTTACTCAGGTTCGGATCGTCGAACCATATTCTAAAAAAAGTGATACATCGACTCCCGCCGCTTTGTGTTGCTTTAATTGGGCAATCACTATAAGAACTTCGAGGAACGAACCATCTTCAAGTTGTGTTTTACTGCCATTTACCAGTTTGATAAGTGCTCTTTGCATACAATGTGTATTCTCAAGACATCGGCCACAAAATTACCCCTATATATTTCTTACGTTAGTATTCGCATGTTTTGACCCAGGTGCGTCGATGTTAGGTCTTCGGAACGTAAACACAATTAGAACACTGGAGACGCGCCTTATGGCAATCACATCATCGGTTGAAAATACCTTTTTTAACACCTTGACTTCAAAGTCGGCAAGCACAATTTTCACACCGTGTCCGGGCAGCAGCCATAAGTACCATCCAGGCGCACAGAGAAAGCGTCTTTGTTCGCTTCGGCTTACTCTTTCGTCTAGGCGCGGTCGCAAATCAGCGACATTCACCCACCGGAGTGAATGCCAGTCCTCAGCGACGGAGCCCTTTTCCAACCACAAATCCCAAACCAAACTTGTTCTCCTTTATATGGCGACTATAGTAGATTTCACAAGGATACGTCTTCTTCTTCTTCTGTCCTTTTCCCGTCCATCGCACTTTTTGTGATCAACTAGCTGAGCAGCGCCACCGCGCCAATTAGGGCACCGAATATTCTAAGTGCCTGCCCTTAAATCGTGATCCTTAAAATGTATTGCGGAGTCGTTGTTAAAGGAGGGTTTATCATTCGGTGCATTTTATTGTTTTTCATTGGAGTACATTTTTTATGTGGTGGGGAACAAAATCGAAGCACAACGGCAGGAGTTTCGCCTTCCACCTTAGCTCTCTTCCAACGTATGTTTGTTGGCTACACAGAGGATAATTGATCTAAGAACGGAAATCGTGAGCTGCTCGAACTTCAATTGGTCATCATCCGTGTGCAAACTGTAATTGATACTTTGGGAGGAAATGATTTTCGTTTTGGTTTAAATCTAAATTCACTACGTTTGGTATGTCTAAGCTAAATTTGGTTTGCAAAATATTTGTTTTCACTGGAATTTATTCGCCGATATGCAAATTTAATTTGGACTAGTTTAATTTCTGTAAAAAGATCCAATTTATGCAGAAACTTCAAACAATTTGCATTTTATTTGAAGCTCTAGAAGACATTGTGGGATCACGTTGGCTGAAGACAATTTGATTTCAATACACTTACAGCCACAGTGAAAGCTTTTCGGAAACGACTTTGAAAAATCAACAATCTCTGCCGCGGTAGCCGAGTGGTTAGCATTGCGTACTGCGATCTTGGGGAAGACCACGGTTCAAATCCTGGCACGACCAACATCCAACAAACATAGTTATTTTATTAGATAAAAGAAGTTAAATTTCCTAATTTCGGTTGCCTCTCGGCAGAGAATGTCAATTCTTCAGAGTGTATTTCGGACATGAAATAAAGGCTGCTCATAAAAAAACCATCAGCCGTTCGCAGGTGGCTTAGTATAAACTTATATTTCCGTCCATTTGTTGGGAAAACATCAAGGCGCAAGACCACAAATTGGAACAGCAACTAGGCCGAAAATCGCTTCAGTGGTTACTAAGGTTAAAAAAAAACATGAAAATTAATTATTTAGCCTCCACTGTATGTCTGACAAATGTGCGAAATTTATCCTCAAATTCGACTATAAAAAACAAGAAAATATTTTTGGATTTATTTAACTTATTGTGTCTGTACGTAGTATACATATGACTGTATACGCGTATGTAATCTCGTGTTGTAATTATGCGCCAAGAAATGTACTCAATTAAAATTTACATGTCTTTTTGCTATGCACAATTTGAATTTTGTATTTTTGCTTGTGTCGAAATTACACTCATAGAAATCAATAGATAATGAATTTAGTTGAAATTTTCGCAATTTTTTTTGGGAAAATATATAGTATTGCTTATTGAAAATGAGTCGTTTGGATTGTAAGTCTCTGGAAGGTAGTCCCGATTTTACAGCTGCCTTCGACAATACAGTAAGAAGCTGCCTCTCCGCCGCTATGTCTGAATTTGATATACCTGCAGAGAAGGTAGAATCTTCTTAGCGGAACAATTACTGTCGTATGCCGATGATATTTACATCAATTTTGATGTCGTAGACATCAAGAACAAAAATAATGTCAGCTTTGAAATCCAGCGTAGAAACAATCATGCCTGCAGGTTCCACTTTGGGCTGAGTGGACAGTTCAAAAGTAAAGTCCCCTTTCTCTTTTTTAGCGAAAGAGTCTTTGGTCACATCGTAGTTGACAGCCGTCGGGGTGTGAGCCCAAGTCATGTTGAAGACTTTCTTTTTGATGTAGGGCGAGGCTTCATCAGGGTGAATCTCAGGTTCAGTGACTAAGTCCCTCTCCCACCACGAAACCGACACAAAATTTGCGCTCTTATATTTTGCCGCTGTAGTACATTTCACAAGGAGCCAATAATTTTCATCTTGATTTCCGTCCATCACAATTGTTGGTCTGCTATTATATTAGCCTCCGGTCTTACGAGAACACAATCAGTTTGTCATACGTGGTCTGTTGAGGAAGTGAGCGTAATTTACATATATTATGTGCAGTTATTTTTCAAATAAGATTGCGCTATTTATCCGTATCTCGAGCTGTAAAAGTTCGATCGGGTTCCGCTGGATGGCGTTAGAAAGGTGCCATTTCGTACTAAAAAAGCTTTTTTGACTGCTTTGAGATTAGTTGATTCAGTTTAGTTTGAGCGATGGACACTAGTGAAAAGAAAATACGCTATATTTTACCGTTATAGGGCGAAACCGTAAGCCAGGCGGTTGAAAATGTGAATAGTGTTTATTGTCAATAAAATCATCTACATTATAGAGTCCGACCGCCATGTAAGCTTTGTTTCGATTGCCCAAGAGCTAAAGATGGCACAAAAAACCGTTTGTAACCATTTGAATAAAGCTGGATACGAAAAGTAAAAAACTAAAGCCTTACTTTCACCCGCAAAAGCCGAGTTAGTGGCATTGAATACTAACATGACATGACGAGGGCTCGACACATTAAGCAAAAAATTGGATAATTATTTTTTCTAAATACCATCGCCCCTCGGAAGAGTGGATAGGCCCTAAATCTCTTCAGTGTATGCAAAGCGAATTATACGAACATATATTTCTTTCAACATATTAAGTGTTTTTGAGCATTTAATTTAATTTTTTGCATAACAAAATTGATGATCGAATGAACGAGTATTTACCTTCACCAAATTTTTTGAGCACACCCCCCATATCCGGACATACAAATATCTTGATTTTTTGGCATTAAGTTCATTAAACTAAACAAATTTCTGAGAGCGCTCAAATGTGCACTCAGCACTTTTACATGCTCGCGTTGCATAATTACATAATATGGCCAATACCTTCGGTGTAATTTCTTTATCACGCGAAAAAAGCCCTTAAATAATATAAGCATACATACTCATATACTCGTTGTATACATGTAAATATGCATTTGTTTACTATTTTTCTTTCGACTGTCAAGTTCAATGGTAAATTCGTAAAATAATGCATATTTATGTTTAGGTTAATAAATACAATATATACATACATATTTACGTTGACGTCATATTTAGCATTAATAAAATAGATCTATAAATAAACGCAAATATTGCTGCATTCACAGCATAATTATTTGAAAAGTTAATAAAGTTATACATAAAATAGTACATATTTACGTCAATCCTTTTCATATTCATTTTGTGGAATGTAAGGATTCAATTAAGCTCAGATCCGTTGCCGTTGAGCTTGTATGTTATTTATTGATGGTAATTACTGAGACTAACTGTTGTCCAACGCCATGTCATAAATAAAATAAAATACAACTCTATACAAATACCATAATCTTATGTAATTTGCGAAAGCTACTTACATACATATCTGCTTCTATGGGTGTGAGTTTAAATTTCACATGAACAAATTGTTTTGACCGAAGTTCAATTATTGCGCATTAAAATGAATTTTATCCTAAATAATTTAATTTTTTTCTTTCAGAACATTTTGTATTTCAGAATTTTTTGTATAAGAAATAAATTTGATTACTTAAATTAGCATGGGATAGGGTTCTTTTATAAAATTATTTAGACATTTTTTACTTTTCCTATAAAATTTCAATGCCCTGCATTTATATTTTTTAAGTTTATAGTTTTATCGATCACCAACAGGCTCTAATCTTATATGAATAGTTTAAATGTATATAAAATAAATATAAAAAACCACAAAAGCTTAAATAAAAGAACTTTAAAAGTTAAATATAATAAAATAAAGTAAAATAAAACAAGAAAATATAATATCAGGTGTACAACTTTGCTACCGCCGTTTTCCGATAGGTGGCTGTACCGGCTTAGGTAGATTGAAATACATAGATGATAATGCCTCTAAAGTGAGTGTGGACAGTGCCTAACGAATTGTCATCGCCGTTTCAGTGACAGTTGTTCTTGTTTTTGTATTATTCACGCTCGAAAATGTGCGTTTATGTGCCTAATTCTCGCCATTTGTGGGAAGTTTTACTTTTCTGTTACAATTCGAAAAAACTTAGAAACTTACGGTGATGCTGCCCTGAGTGAAAGAACGTGTCGGGAGTAGTTTCAACGCTTTAAAAATGGTGATTTCGATGTCGAAGACAAACATGATGGTGGAAGAGAAAAAACCTTCAAAGATGATCAACTAGAAGCATTGCTTGATGAAGAAGCTCTTAAAACCGGGTGAAACCATCACAGGAGATCGCTACCGAACGCGACTGATGCGCCTTAGTCGCGCGCTAAAAGAAAAGCGGCCACAATATCAAGAGCGACATGACAAAGTCTTCCTCCAACACGACAATGCTCAGCTTTACGTCGTAAAAACCGTGCTTATGCGGAGGAGCCTTTAACTCTTGAGCCCTTCAAAACCAACATTCGCAAACTTATGCCTGAGATACCGCCCAATATGTGAAGAAAAGTGGTCACATATGATGCTACCAAGGTTCAAAATTTATAATAAAAAAGGAAGTTGCAAAAAAAATATCTGAGAAGCATTTTATTTACGCTTATTTTCGAAACGACAAATATACAAATGACCCTGTATTGGTGCATAATTTACTGTACAAGTATTTATTTTTCCGATATAAACTTGTAATAATTTGGTAAATATATACATACTTATGTGAATATGCATGTATGAAACCTGTACCAAAACTTCGTACATATCAATTACGAATCGGCAGCATGATTTTCGTAATTTATATTCAATAAAAAGATATTTGTGCTTATGAATATTATTTAAAAAATTATATGACAAGCAAATTGCTTGCACAGTGTGATGGATGGCTGAAAATAAGCCATTTGAATAAAGAAAGGATTTTATTTTTTAAAAAATCTTCAAATTGTATTGGTTTAATAGAAAAAATCATTGAAGTGAAAGCTGTTTGGAAATCAACAACTCCTTAATAATAATTCGACAATGATTTAAATTGCCCAATAACTTATTTCTTTATTAGCAAATGTGCCAAAATACACTCCACATCGGTTCTGAAATTGCGGCCCACTGTGCGCCCTTTTTGCCAAACTAATCGCCAGCGTTTTGCGTACATTTTGGGCGTTTATGCAGTTTATGATACGCACGCACATAAAGCAATGAAAAATACGAATTTTTATTATCACAAATTTGTATCTTTACAACGCGTCCGACGCATAATAACAAGCATAAGTGCGTTCATACAGCAGCAAGCAGCAAGCAGCAGGCATCAGGCAGCACTACTAAGGCGCGTGCGCGCAGGTTCATTTCTTAAACACGCCTGCAAAAGTCGCGTGGTATTGTATGTGCGCATATGCATGTATGTGTGTGTGTGCGTGTGTGTGTGTGTAGCGCCCTTATTTCCCTATACCCTTAAGAACTTTCCCCTTGAAACTCTTGTTTGAATGCTTTGATAAAATATCCATGACGCCACGACGTTCGGTTTTTTTTTTTGATAGAAGTGGCAGTAAAGGTGCCAGTACCGTTGTTACAAAGTAAAAAAGAAATGAAAAAATTCCCGAATCTCATTACCACAATTTCGGCATTATTGATGCTCTCAAGTATGTTATTAAATTTAAATTCTTATTACACCCATCCTTTAACTTTTCCCACTACCTCTTATATTTATGCATTTTTGTTCTTATTTATGTACTCGCATATGTGTGTTCGTGTTGTTGTAGGAATTTTTATGGACTTGTATACGCATAAATTCTTACAACTTGTTTCATCGCCAATGGTCTTGAGTTACTTTTGCGAAAATTTCTGTGCGAAATTTCTTCATTTAGCCCATAAAATAAAGTTGTGTCCTTATTTGTCCGTTCCGTTATTAAGAGCAATAGGTATAAATTCAGCAAGGCGAGGTGCTCTTAAAACGGTAAATATGTGTGCTTAAGGAGACGGTCTTTGATTATGTTGTCTATTTTGAATTGACCAGTCGAACTGAGGTGGAGTATGGAAGAGAGTTCCGACGGTGCGATTCTGTTCTTTGTTTGTATGTTGTTGATTAGCTCAAGATGGGATTTTTGCGGTCTTACTGCTTGATACATTAAAGGCTATTGGAACAACGAAAGATGCTTCTTCGACGAAATGCAGGTAGCACCCTTACGACAAAGCCAATAAGAAACAAATTACAAAAATTTTTCGGGTTATTTTCGGGTGTGTCTCAGACACGTAGCTCCCCGTATAAGCATCCCAGTCTACGTTCAAGTAAATACGAGATTAGATCACCGGGAGAATAGCAATTATTGGAAGAAAATATCCAGTGAGGTCTATGAACATGAGGCATAGTTAGCTTTTTTACTGATTTCTACGAGGTGGATCTCAAACAAGCGTCCAACCTCGCTGCTTCTGGTGAACAGAAACTGCAATTAGACTATGTACAGTGAATCCTTAAACCGAATATGTCAGAGTGGCTCCGTCAGCGGATTGGTTACCGCATCTTGCGCCAGGATTGTTCACGTTTCCAGGCTGCACGAGAGTGTTACAAGCGTAGGAATCGAGTACGGCCCTCGGCAATTGTAACTCAATATAAAGCTTATTCACTTAACAAAGCGCAAAAATGAAAAGCGTGTAATCGTGCAATTTATAATTCGCTAATTTGAATTTACAACGAAGCTTTATGCTTAAGTACCGAAAATTCCATCTCTGATTGTTAGCCAATAATGCTTATGTTGCATATATTGCTATAAGGAGTTATGTGGGGATGTGCGTGGTAAGCTGACATACTTATATGAAACCCATTTTTAATTTCAGTTCTGTGCCAAATTTCGCCAGCAACAACTGCAATACGTCACACGTAGCCATCGCCACGCATAAGAGAGGACACAACCGGCATTTGACTTTCTCATCTGCGGAACCCACCGGTGAGGCGTAAGCGCGAAATGCAAGCGTGCGAATTTTAAATGGACATACACACACTCTCCCTTTCTCCCTTTTTCCTTCTCACCATCACTAACCTTGTTGCTGATAAACTGTGACTTGATTTGGTATTTATTCGTTTTGTAAAAGTGCGTCAAAGCAAAATGAGCGAACTGGCGATGATACAGCCAACAGAACCCTACCTGATTTGCCAAAAATGTAATAAAAACGTGAACAGAGAAGGTGTGTAAACTTCAAAAGTGCCAAAAAGACAATGAGACACAACTAAATGCGTCATAACTCACAAGCTTCAACGTACAACATTTTAGGGCTTGGACGAATAACCCAGGCGTCTTCTGTGGCTGTGGCGCACACACCAAGTGATTCGTACATCCTTAAGCATTTATCCCAAGCGATGCAGTATCTTTATTAAAAATGAGTCTCGATAAATACACCAAACGAGGAAAAACGAAAAAACATGATAATGTTTACAAGAAAGCGAATTCGAGAGAGCAAGAGAGGCAGGGAGAGTTACGAGAAATTAACAAAGAGAACAAAAATTAGTCAACATTGTACTCCTTTATGAAACAACGCTTAAAGGTAAGCTAATGAATGCCGAATCTCAAAAAAAATACGATATATAAATAAGAAAGAACAAAGCTCAGAAGACACCGAACATTTAATACCCTATTATTTATATGTGGAGTTTAGAAGTTTTAAGTTGCGGATGATATGCCACGAGATGTAAAGTTTCCAGATTCTTCTCAAAATTTCGCACTGCCAAGAAATCTGAAGATGAAGATCGATTTCAGGTTTTTTTTTTGTTTTTTTTTTTTGGTATTGTAACTTTTGTTTCTCAAGAATATACGAACAGGCGGACATGGCTGAAACCAGTCTTTATATATTTTGATCTGCTTATCTTCTTCTTCTGGTGCCTATGTACTTGGTATTCGTGAAAAATATAAAAAAGACATTCAGACGTGCAGCCGCAGTAGACAATTTTACTTATTTACGTATCCCCCAGAGTGAGAAAAACACCCGATCGGCTTCAGTTGTTGTTTGAGCTGGACTTTATACGGATATAACAGTAAGACGTAGTGCCCATATACTCGTATAAGTTTTTACTGTTTTGTACGTACGACTTAATCAGATCACCGTTTGGAGAACAAAATTAATATGTCCTACAAAATAAACTCACTTGTTAAAATATGAAACTCAGAGCAAAACGAAACGAAACGAAAAGCGACGACATCGGAAAAAAGTTTCGAAGCGGCCCGCACCCACACCACCACCGGTCGCCCTCAAAACTTCGCTGCAACTTTTGCTGCATAAAATGTGTGAATTTGTTGTTATTATTGTTTTTATTGTTGTTATAAATGCGTATGCGCGTGCGTGCGTTTGTTTGCTCGTTAACAAATGTTTCGCCACTAAAAAGTGTTATTGACCCTTAAACCGTTAGTGTTGGATCAGCTTGTTGTATGTACGTGTATGGCCAACAAATGGCCAGGGGTGAGGACCAAAACGAGCAATCCACTCAAACCACTCATATGAATGTACAGAAATTAATATATGTACATACATACTCGTATACATAGGTATATGTATGTCCCTCTGTTCCGTCTGTTCTGCAGAAGGTGGTGGTGGCTGGCGAAGTGAAATGAATTGAAGCGGGACGGAGGTGCGGTGACAGAAGCGC